TCAAAAATGAAAATGCGGAGGACACCTGCGCCACATATTTGTACTCTTAGTTTAATAAGTATACCATGAAAAATACACGAACGTACACGTGTCACTCTTTTCGACAGCAGAGCAGGTTTCGCTTGAAAAATATCTTTTGTGTACGCTATACATATTTGCTAATAAAGTCCACACACAAACGCGTTCGCAGTTAATCATAATTTCGGCAAGTCTCTGGAAAAAAAGCGGCTTAAACGAACGAGAAAAAAAACGATCGGCTATACATCGCACGAAAGGAACATGCAAATGCGCAGTCATACGCAGATTATCGGCAAGGTACGTTCCAGCACTGCATACGCGCATACACTTCCATGCATAAAGTATAAGCTGCGGCCGAGCGCCTGCTGCAACTGACGCTGTCGTTTAATTAGCTCGGTTTTAGCTCGAGGCGTTGTTTACAACACATTATATAATTGCCGCCGTGATGGCTCGTATCCTTTGTAACGTATGCCATTCGCAGCTCTTTATCATACGTACAACGCGTAGATTTGACAATGACGTGTGTTCGTATAGAATAGCGCAGGTGCAGCAGGGGCCTTTTTCGCTAATGATGTACCAGGCGCAGCGCAACTCGAACAAAGAAACACATGTACACGACACACATTCTGTACTCGTTGGCAAAAGCTCGCGCCACTCACGAAGAATCTTTCTCTCTTTTTGACGTACGGGACACACACGATGTATCCAGGTTTTTCATATATTGTACGTATGCCGTACCTAAAGCATATAACATGCAGGTGTAGCTGCAGCGCGAAAGCAGCTTTGTGCAGCGCGCGCCCGCCGAAAGACACGATTCTCTGACCCGGACACAGGCGCAACCAACGAAAGTTTATATATACGTATATATAGTCGCACTGGTAACCGTCAAAAAAAGTTGATACGTGCGCGCATTAACTCAAAGGAAGAAAACGTCACTCTTTTCTTTGATTCCTTTTCGGCTTCGTTTTGTCGCGCGTACAAGAGAGAACGTCCGACGTTTTGTGCTATTTATGAAGTTTACGTAATTCCCTTATACGTATGTTTCTTTTTCCGACCTGGTGCATTATCTAGCGCGTTGTCAAAGTTTTTTACTTGCAAGCCAAAACAAAAAACCGCTGCCAATGTATTGGCAAGTAGCTTCCTCATACTTTTTTTTTAACTTGAAAATAATTTGGAAATATTAATATTATCTTTTCTAATTTGCTCACAAAATATTTGTAATCATACATTATTTCTGTTTGTGGAATCAATTGCCAACGTTCTTCTATTCTTTGATATATAATTTTTATCTAATTTTTTTCACGATGACGTAACAATTAAAGTAGTTCCCTCAATAAATAAGGGTAAGGCTCAGAATTTTTTAAATAAACCTGCCCTCGTATGTCACCGATCTTGACGCGCTTTTGGTATGTTATAGTACATAGTAAAAGGTCCCAAAACCAAAATTTTATACCCCCTCCCCCCCTCCACCCTTATAAACTTCCATTTTCTATCTATATTTTTTCTGAAGGCCTGAACCAATTAAAAAATCTGAAAAAATTTACAAAATTACTTTTCAACAATCTAAACAACCTTGAATTTTTTCAGATTTTTTGAGTGCTTCAGGCCTTCAGAAAAAATCATTGAAAATTTTGAAAATTCATATAAGGCGTTAGGATGCAATACAAAGCCCGATCTTTTTTTTCACTCATTTTTTGCATTAAAATACATAACCTCAACTTTTTTCAGATTTTTTCAGAGAGGACTCTGACGTCTAGAGCCGAAAACCCCCATTTTTTAACGAAAATAAATTTTTTAGGACGATACGAAGCCTTGAAAAATCTGGAAAAAATTTTTTCTCGTTTTCTCCATCGAAATACATTACCTTGAATTCTTTCAAATTTTTTTATTGAAGGCGATAGCATCTATGGCTGAAAAATGCTTTTTTCATGAAAAACGGTTCCTGAAACCCAGAGGTTCCGGTAAAAAAATTTGAAAATTTTTTTTCGAATTTCTCGTCAAATTTAAATAAATTTTGACCGTTTCAAAACTTCAATTGGAGCTTCCTAGCTCATTCTAGAGCATAACAAAGATTAAAGCGAAATTCTGAAGACATCTGAAAAATAATGTAACTGTGATGAATGTCTTCAGAATTTCGCACGAATCTTTGTCAAAAAAAATTCAAGGTAATGTATTTCGATGGAGAAAACGAGAAAAAATTTTTTCCAGATTTTTCAAGGCTTCGTATCGTCCTAAAAAATTTATTTTCGTTAAAAAATGGGGGTTTTCGGCTCTAGACGTCAGAGTCCTCTCTGAAAAAATCTGAAAAAAGTTGAGGTTATGTATTTTGATGCAAAAAATGAGTGAAAAAAAAGATCGGGCTTTGTATTGCATCCTAACGCCTTATATGAATTTTCAAAATTTTCAATGATTTTTTCTGAAGGCCTGAAGCACTCAAAAAATCTGAAAAAATTCAAGGTTGTTTAGATTGTTGAAAAGTAATTTTGTGAATTTTTTCAGATTTTTTAATTGGTTCAGGCCTTCAGAAAAAATATAGATAGAAAATGGACGTTTATAAGGGTGGAGGGGGGGAGGGGGTATAAAATTTTGGTTTTGGGACCTTTTACTATGTACTATAACATACCAAAAGCGCGTCAAGATCGGTGACATACGAGCGCAGGTTTATTTAAAAAATTCTGAGCCTTACCCATATGTAAAAAGTACTCTACGATTATTAGTTATGAAAGTCGAAAATCGGTCCGTCACAAAGCTTCCTCTTTGCGGAAGCAAAAGTAACGGGGACAAACAGTCGAAAAATAAAGAAAGAAAACATGGTATATTATTATACTAGACCGGGAAAAACAGAAAAGTTTTAAAGCATTCGATTTTGCCTCGGCTGATAAGCACGCGCGTTCTGGAGCTTTCTTTTTTACCGGCTTAGGCTTACATAGAAAAAGCTCACATTATGTGTATAAGCGATTCGTGCTTTACATTATAGCTTGAACATTCAACTCCAATATTGTCTTGAGTATTTCACTGAAGGCGAAAGCTTCGTTATCCTCACAGAATGCCAATTCGTTGATAACATAAAATCAAAACATATCTGAATTAAAACTTGCTCCGGTTATCATTGAGCACCTGATCGACAAAAAAGACCAAAACGGCGCGTCAACGATCATGAAAATATTCGCTAAGTTGACCGGATCGTTCAAGATGCCAGTGGATTTTGACAAATATTTGCGTAGCGGTAAACACTTCGTGAGCGAAGAGTAAAAATGCACTATGAGCGACCCATGGACGTCTAACTGTAGCAGACTTTTTTCATTCACACGATCGAATAAATTACTCGAAAGGTATCAAGTTACGTGTGATAAAGGCAAGAGAATTTTTGCGGCCCTGAATTTTTCTTGGACCTGATGCACTAGTTGACATGCAGTGGACACGCAATTTTCACTTCTCTGCTATATGAAATAATTGCTCGGTAACCATTGGTCAAAAGTACAGATGGATTAAACAATTTTTGTAACTTTTACATTGGCTAACGATAAATTAGACGTTGATACAGTAAGATTTCAGCAAGTTACGCGTTTACGTAAAAATACAAATGATGAAAAACAAACTTGAATTCATCCCCTAATTGCTTCAGTTCATGTATTATTATGCTCTTATAACTTTGCCTTGTGGTTGTCGAACAGCTTTCCCAAATCTGAGCATTGAATTCTTTCATAACGCTACCAACTGGCGATTCTCTGCTGCGAAATAATCATCGATAATCTAACAAGTGAAGATTTGTTTGGCATCTGTTGGGTAGTTATAGATCAAGGCGAAAATGATTGGGCTTCATTATTTTTGTAAAACTTACATTGAATAACGGAAAATTTTAGATAGTACAACCATTACAAATTATGACGAACGCATATAAATGGACAAAATTAAAAATAGATTGCTATGAAAGCTTAAGCTTTGTTATAAAATTACATCGTATCTCTGTAAAATCGCACCTAGTATGTAATGCTCTAACCATTTATATTATTAATTTACGAATGAAAAACTGCTGCCAAATTATTGTCCAAAAGCTTTCTCAAATAAATTGTTTCTATTTTTTTTCAATTAATATAAGTAAAAACCCCAAATTCCTAATGTAAAAACGATTCTTAGTGAAAAATCAGGTAAGTGAGAAGATTACCCAAATTTATTAAACATTTGTTGGGAATTCAATCTAGTTTACAAATATGTAAACCAAACGGTCCCACGTTGCCTGAATCAAAAACTTATTTTCGAGCTCATCACAGAGTTTCCTCGGAGAGGAAACAGAATGGTACATACATTTTTCGATGTAGTTTCTCATATTATTACCGATTAATTATGTTTCCATACCCAACGCATCTAAAAACGTTTCAATGCGAAAGCTTTTGCATAAATTTCTGAACTGGAAAATCCGTATACACACGAGCTGAGCTTTACCGCATCGATGCGCTCCCGTCTACTTCAAAAATCGAAAGAATTGTCTCCCTCGCCAAGACAATAATCGATACGTGCATGCTTTATAATCTACAGTTTGTGAAAGGCGATAACGCGCGTTTCGCTATTATCAACGTACGCGTAATCCGTTCCAAAGAAAACTGCTTATCATAATGGATCGATATATGCATTGACCAATTTTAATAGAGTTCACGCGATCATTTTCCGCTGTTATGGCCACTATAATTAACGCTTGGAAATTTCATTTTAACCTATTGTAAACGACCTATTATAAAGTGTATATTTTTCGTCGAATCATGCCATACACGTTATCCTATATCGTTTGGTATTGTCACGCGCACGATAAGACTCGAGTGACATGGGACGCAATTCGAAATTCGTAATTTGGCGCCAAGCTGCGCCGACGCAGACGAAAGTGCTCGGCGCGTCCGCCGGGCGCAAGACGACGGGGCACACGTGCAGTCAGCTGACCAGCACCTGCCATCATCGTATTCGACACCAACACAAGCACACGTCAACTCACACACACAACGTCGAATCGCGAGCAGCATTCAGCAGCGTCGTGGACAGATTATAACACACGGAGCATACAGAATAAGCATAATATCCGTAGCTCTCTCTAGATCAGTCAGTCTGTGTATTGCTGTACGTAGACACGCACACACACACACATACTTGTAGCGACGAATTTGCGCGAGAGTGTGCAGTGCGAGCGAGCAATTGCAAGTCCCCTGCGAGAGTCGAGTTGAAAACTCGTGTGGCCCGAAAAACACTGCAGAAGTCTTGTGCGAGCTAAGGCATCGAGACTCCAAAAGTCCAAGTATCATCGTTTGAAAAAAGCACCAGGTAAGCCAGCCATATCGCATTCGCGTAAACACTCACTGCAAACGAGCGTTATAATTTTGGCGTCGCGAATCCCAAGTTCTGGCATCCATGTAGTATCTATATATGCATATACGAGCCCACTGTGCTAGCTCTGTGTATATACGTGCTCCACTACTGCTGATATCGATCGTGTGCGTGCTCGACTATGCGCCATCGTAACTTTCGGTTGAAAAATCGCCTCGTAAAAACAGCCATAACAATTCCCGAAAGCTGCCTTCACGTGTTATTGATTACAGCTTGTAAACGCTCTTGCAAGCTGCACGCATCGACGACGGGGCCCCCCATAGAGAAGCCCCCGAAATAGCAGACGCGCTCGATCATATCTACGACACGACAATCGAATTTTAAATAACAAAACGACCCAAAGTTTCGAGCGTGACGTGCACCGCGATGCTTCTGCTACGCTAATATAACACCCTCGGCCTATTGTTGTTAAACAAATGTCGCGAAAGTATGCGTGACTCGTTGGGTAAAACCAAAAAATACGTGCGGCGACAGTCTATGGCTCGCGCTTTTTAAATGCAAAAAACTTCATCCTTGCTCGCAATTAAAAGCTTTACGTGACTCCTAGCGCTGCGCAAATAGATTAGCATTTTTCGGAGTCGAGCAACGTCGCTCCATTTTAGAAGACTTTAAAATCAATATAAATCACCTGCTAGGCTTAATTGCTATCGCCCAAACAACAATTAGCGACTCCACGAACTCGTCATAGTCACAAGCATGGACGCGCGAGATAAGACAAACCTTAATGGCAAAGTGTGTATACGCGGCATTATAATTGACGGCGAGCTTCGTTTTCGCTGCTGCTGCAGCCACAACGCAACATACTTACAATACATATAGACACAATACGTACAATATCATTGCTCGTCCGTGTGCTCTGTCTCTTTTTCTCTTTAATAACGCGGCGCGACGTTGATACAGCACATCGCAGGCAGCAGCGCTCCGCGGGCTACGCCTTATATACCAAGCATCGGTACTCACGTGAGAGCAGCAAGCCAGCGCCGAGAGCGCATAGTGTTGGTGAAGCTCGTGAGCCATCAAGACAGTCTGTCTCTGAGATCCGCGACATTCGTTGACGTCTCTCGCCCCCGCACTGTTGTTTGCTTTTATTTCGACCATTGCCCAAGGTATGCTTTGCTTTTTTCTCTTCTCTCTGCATTTCTCCGATGGATTTTATTTTATCCTAAAACGGGAATGCAGTGGTGATAAAGACGTTTCTTCCTCTTTGCGTATTGTGACACAATCGAGATATCGCGAATTTCGGAGTCTTCTGCTTCAACAAGTGTTTTCGTTTCTCTTCTTTTTTCGTACCATATTTTTCAAAAGCTTGACGATAATTCGTGAAAAATTTGTGAATTTCGTTGGCCTCGTCGGTAACGTTGAAGCAAAGCTAAGCGACAAAATAATATTCGATTCTGCAGCACTATCGCGACGTACGAGTTTCTCATGTGAGAACGAGACGTACGTCACGTGATTGTTCAATCGAGCGAATTACTTTGCTTTTACATGCTGAATTCGCTCAACTTTTTTGCTTTTGTTGGCTACTATTACTTTAATTTTTTTATAATTATCACTTGTGCATTCAGTTCAATGCAGTTGATTTTTTTTTATCCTTAAAAATCAATTGTGGCCATTACTGATTAATTAGCGATCAGCTGATATGAATTCTTGATTAAAGTGAAGTATTCATCTATTTCCAGATTAAAAACTCAAAATGACGTTGCCCAAGATGTCCAATGAGGAGAGGGAGGCTAAGTTTGGATATGTCTATGCTGTTTCTGGACCTGGTGAGCTTTTAAAAGTTTCTAAAATTCTATTTCATAAAGCATTGTAATATTACAATAAATAATTTTCTATTTTAGTCGTTACGGCAGAGAAAATGTCTGGATCAGCTATGTACGAGTTGGTGCGTGTAGGCTATGATGAGCTTGTAGGAGAAATCATTCGTCTCGAAGGAGACATGGCTACCATTCAGGTTTATGAAGAAACCAGCGGTGTTACTGTTGGAGACCCTGTCTTACGTACTGGTAAACCCTTGTCAGTAGAACTTGGACCTGGTATTCTTGGCAGTATTTTTGATGGTATCCAACGTCCATTGAAAGACATCAATGAACTTACACAATCCATTTACATCCCTAAAGGTGTTAATACACCATCTCTTTCTCGCACACACCAATGGGATTTCAACCCAATGAATATTAAAATTGGCAGTCATATCACTGGTGGAGATATTTATGGTCTTGTCCATGAAAATACCTTGGTAAAACATAAAATGATGTTGCCACCCAAAAATAAGGGTACCGTTGTTTATGTTGCTCCTGCTGGAAACTACACCGTTGAAGTAAGCATTTGATTGAATCAATATTCAGTGTGAACTTTGCTATCTTCAAATTTGTATACAAATTTTTCTTTTTCAGGACGTCATTCTGGAAACAGAATTCGACGGAGAGAGGACCAAATACACTATGCTCCAAGTGTGGCCTGTACGTCAACCAAGACCAGTCACAGAGAAATTGCCGGCCAATCACCCTCTGCTAACTGGACAGCGTGTTTTGGACTCCCTGTTCCCCTGCGTACAAGGTGGTACCACCGCCATTCCCGGAGCTTTCGGTTGCGGCAAGACCGTCATCTCGCAAGCTCTGTCCAAGTACTCCAACTCGGACGTCATCATCTACGTCGGTTGCGGTGAGCGTGGTAACGAGATGTCCGAGGTACTTCGTGACTTCCCCGAGCTGACCATCGAACTCGACGGCGTGACCGAGTCCATCATGAAGCGTACCGCTCTGGTCGCCAATACATCCAACATGCCTGTCGCTGCTCGTGAGGCTTCCATCTATACCGGAATCACCCTGTCCGAGTATTTCAGAGACATGGGTTACAACGTGTCCATGATGGCTGACTCGACGTCTCGTTGGGCCGAAGCTCTTCGAGAAATCTCTGGTCGTCTGGCTGAGATGCCTGCCGATTCCGGTTACCCAGCCTATCTCGGTGCTCGTCTTGCCAGTTTCTACGAGCGTGCCGGACGCGTCAAGTGTCTGGGTAATCCAGACCGCGAGGGCTCGGTCAGTATTGTCGGCGCCGTATCCCCACCCGGTGGTGACTTCTCTGATCCCGTGACCAGCGCCACCCTCGGTATTGTCCAAGTGTTCTGGGGTCTCGACAAGAAGCTCGCCCAGCGCAAGCACTTCCCGTCCATCAACTGGCTCATCTCTTATAGCAAATACCTCCGTGCTCTGGACGATTTCTATGACAAGAACTTTCAAGAGTTCGTGCCTCTGCGTACCAAAGTCAAGGAGATCCTCCAGGAGGAAGAAGATCTTTCCGAAATTGTGCAATTGGTCGGTAAAGCGTCGCTCGCCGAGACGGACAAGATTACTCTTGAGGTTGCCAAGCTTCTTAAGGACGATTTCTTACAGCAAAACAGGTGATTAAATTTGCTTTTTATATTTTTTAAGCGATAGTTTGTTTTTTACTAATATGTCTATGTTTTTTATCTCACAGTTACTCTCCTTACGATCGCTTCTGCCCATTCTACAAAACCGTCGGTATGTTGAGAAACATGATTGCTTTCTACGACATGTCCCGACATGCCGTTGAGTCGACAGCCCAGTCTGATAACAAAATCACATGGAACGTCATCCGAGATAGCATGGGAACGATTCTATATCAGCTCAGCTCTATGAAATTCAAGGTAATTTATTAATGCCTCAAGGAAAAAATGTTCCATTGCTATATCATGCCATAACACACACATATAATTTATCATAAACTAATTATTTTCAGGACCCTGTGAAAGACGGCGAAGCTAAGATTAGACAAGACTTCGACCAATTACATGAAGATATTCAGCAAGCTTTTAGAAATCTAGAAGATTAAATTTTTGCAATATGTGTGAAATGTGCAAGATGTGTTCAAGTGTATGCGTGTATGTATGTATTAATGCAGGGCTGGAGAGTCTGTCAATTTATTGAATGAACTTTCCAAAAATAGTTGTTATAGTATCGTATCGATTACTTTATTTAAAGATTTTATTTATATTTTTCTTTTAAAAGAAACAATAATTTCCTAAAAGGAACGATGAAATGTAAGCAAAAAATATATCTCATGTTTGAAAGAAATCGTCACTTGAACTACATTTGTATTTTAAAATCCAGTATTTGAAATACTTTTGTATTTCTTAGAGTATTTTACCCCATAGAAGCGTAACAAGAATCTATACTTGAATATGTATTTCATTACATGTGTTTTATGTACAAATGTATTTGTATTTTAATTTTTTTGAAAATTTCCTCAGCCCTGTAAGTATGAATATTCAAATTATTTCGCCAGGGCTAAGCCTAATGGTTTAAATTATGTTAAAACTACAGATATAGATTAAATTACTGTTAAATACATAAGATATCGTAATAGTTATTGCTACAATGAAATGAAAACCGTAGATACTGACCTTCACAGTATGAAATGGTAATCCAATTAAAAACTCAATGAAAACATAAAGAAAAATACATTTTTGGAGTTTCAATGAATTGATATGAAAAACATGCCGCTACTACGAATTGTTGCACGGAATCACGAGTTAAAAATTACACGCAAACTTTCTCTTATATTGTATGATTTCTGAGTTTTCACATATTGTCCTAATTGAAGTAAATTATGAAGCTGTGCTTCCAATGAGGTGAATAATGCCGTGTATAAGATATCAGAACTATCCAAAAAAAATAAGCAATGAACAATAATCACTTGGTAGGAATTGTTCAGGTTGATATGGTCTAATGTAGAGATTAAAAGCGTCCGCAAGAGAAAGTACGTAGATTCCAGTCTGGCTTTAGAGAGAATATTTTTCAACGAAAGCTATAACGATCGGTTCCAGTTTTCGTTTTTTTTTCATAGTTTAAGATGCCATAATATATATTTTCAGAGGTAATCAATTTTCCAATACAAAACTGTTGCACAGAGTATAATCAAGCTTTCTAGATTATAATGTAGTTTGTCTCCTTCGAACGTTTTGAAAGATTATACCTATATTACTTCTTGTCCCGCAGACACACGCATATCGATACTTATCAATGTTAATCGATCTCGTTAAGGTTGATTTCATGTTTCACACGATGTTCCAATTGAATACCTTTGTTATTTTTTGTAAAAATTCTAACATAATCTCAAATTTGTATATATAAAAAAAATCATATTGCCATAGAGTATCGTCCACCCGAAAATAACTATTAGGACAATAAACGAAGAACGAGACGGTACCCGTATGGTGTTTAACTTGGTCAATGTGAAATCAGTTTTATCCTTCTTCATACATTCTAAATACGACGGATCTAAAAAGCTGCAGCTCGAATTTCTGCAGTCTTCGATATTATGTCAATGTTTCCCTGAACAAAGAATATATGCAATTTTTCAATGGCGTAAAATTCACCAACTCGAAATCATACCTATTGTTGAAAATCGTCTCATTTATAAAGGGCTCAATCGATTTTCAAGTGTCCAATAAGTGCACACATATTATTATCAATGAAAGTTATTTAATGGGCCTTCAACGTTTATGCGCACTGTTCTGATACGTTTGTCACACGATACGTTGGTGCGAAGTATTATAGTTATTGTTTGCTGTATGTCATGCATATTAAAGAAAGTATGATTAACATGGAAAAATGTATAACAGAAATTATACCAAGATCGTTGATGAAATATGATATTATGTTTAATATTAAACTATAATGTTGGTGAATTGTGCGAAAAAATGGAAATATATTAATAAGGACAGACCGAAAAGCTTTGCTGTGATGAAAACACAAGAAAAATTTCATGAAAGTACAACATCAGAAAGAATATAGGACTTCGCTCTAGCTGTCCAGTTTCAGCAGCTTCAATATCGTTTCCATTGTATAATATGTAAAAAAAATCAATAAAATGCTATGCACAATATATAAAGATTAATTATTTATGCTTGTACATGATGGGAAAGTAAAATTTGAGCTCATATTAGGATTTTAAATATTTCTTTTAATAGTAATATAACAATAACCACGCGATATATTTACATTAACGATATTATACAGTCATAAATTGAGGTCATATAAGGTGAGTTAATTTTTTTCATAACGGTTCATTCACATCAAGAAAATTATTTTATAATTGTTTGGTATTTTTGATAAGATTTCTTCACCTTAAACTTAATGGGTCAAGTAGTATTGCATTCACGTAATATACCATATTTATCAACTCATATTAAACTCAATGCAAAAGCTTTCACGAACAATTTCAACAATAAAAATACAGAGCTCCTAAACTTTTGTAATCATAATTATGAATACATTGAGAGTTCAATTATATGTTGGTACAAACTTATAACAGAATTTTCATAAAAATGAAACAAGGGTGTCAATCAAACTGCAATTTCACATGACACCGATATGTGCATATATACACATTCAAATATGTAGGCATAAATATACAGCACAACAAGATACTTTCACATTCATTTAGAACAACACTTTTTTTACAATTAGGCTCTATTTTACGAACAAGATTTTTGTAATTACCATCTTTGTTGTAACAAACGTCTTGCCAAATTATTTAGAATTAAAAATCAAATAGGATTTAAAATGTGGTTTCTACTAGTAATAAAAAAATATTAATATAAAAAAAATTTTAATTACCACAAAATTTTTAATATTTTTAAATAATTAAAAATTATAATAAATATATTATACACAATGATCAAAAATATTCAAAAATTCTCCTATTTACAAACATGATTTTGATGGAAAAATTATTTTTACACTTTTCAAGGCATCTTCATCTAAAAATATTATTGTTTGTGTGACAATGCAATTAACTGCATTTAATCCTAAATATTCATTAAACTTTTAAACACACAGTTTGGTGCTCATCAAGAAAACTGCTTAATACAAGAGAGAAAAATAGGCACTATACAATCTTGTTGCTTTAAATTTATAATTTTACCACATTGTGAGTAAACTTAAAGTCTTTACAGTATTAACATGTGGTATATCACAGAAACCTAAAAGACTTATCATCTTCTTGATTTCAAGCAGCACATTCATTTAGATTTAAAATGAACACAATATGGCACTAACACTTCTTAGGGTAAAGTATATAATTTTTACAATAATTCATAAGCAGTTTTCCTTAAAAGCTGATTTACAAACTAGTAATGTTTCTAAATTAATATAAATTTTATTTCTAAGGAAGTATACTATCTGGACTTCCATGAGATATAGGTAATTGTGACTTCAAGCTTAAATTTTCACGCCTCAGTTGAGTAACTAATTGTTTCAAAGCAATAACTTCCTGGCGTAATTTTTCATTTTCATGCGAACATTTGACCATTTCTTGCTGTGATGTTTTTAATTCTGTTATATATTCACATGCTTTGGCTAAAATACCACCTTTACTCTATAAAAAAAGAATATTAATAGTAATTAGTTGACTCAAACTGTTGAATAAGTGCAAAATTTTAATTTGTTTATGCATCTTTTACTCACTTGTGTTTCATAATTGGCTTTACCAGAACCTTCACCACCACTTCCACTGCCATTTGATGAGCTACATTCAGGAATTATTTTCCCAAGTTCGGAAATCCAATTATTAATTTTGTCTCTTCGTCTGCGCTCTACCATGTTGTGTGTTGCTCGCCTCTTATCATCCCTCTATAAATGAACAAATTTGAACAAATAGGAGATGGATAAGAAGTAATTTAGAAAATTGCGTACCTTCGTTTTTTTTAGAGACGTAGGAGGTTGTTCAATTTGCAATGTTGCTGCCGCTCTTGGAGCTAATACGGACCTAGATGTTTGGGCAGTTGTATATACATCATTGGCATTCCCAATGACATAGAACTGACCATTGATAGGAGTTGTTAAGACTTGGAGTGGCGCTTGAGTTACAGGAAGATCAATGTCTTGAGAAGCTCCTCCATTGACTTGAACCACTCTGTAAGTCATAGATTGTTCATACTGACAATCATCATCTACGACTGCATCTCCTGCAAATACGTTTTAAAAATTTAAATCTCTGTTCATTTTGCATGGAGCCATTATTATAATCATTCAGTTTCTCTCACTAACCATCACAGTCAACTATTTCTGCTTCTTCTATGACAATGGAATTGTCAGATTTAATGATTGGTCCATTACTACTGAAACAAGATAAATTTCTCATTACTGTTGCTTCTGAAAAAATTCAATAAACTCAATAACAATGGAAACTTGATATCCTGTGGTGCTTCTACGATAACAGATCGATTTTATTGAGCGAGACATAATAAAAAGCGAGCTTATAAACACTCAGTTTTATCAGTGGGCGAAAAAAAAAACGATCGAAGCGCAAACATTAATTAAAAGTAGAGGGAGTCGGAGTATAAAGAGCGCTTTTCCAGTCGCATCGAGCATAAAAACAGCGTGTGTATAGGCATTAATTGCGTGCGGCCCGCGATGCACGAGCGTGATCATTATAGTGGAAAAACGGAGAGTTCCATCGTCGCTTCGTGCATCGCGCGCGCGGTATATACGCGGTGGCACACGGGTAACGTGACCTTGAGAGCTCGCGACCGTCGAAGAGTTGATATTACAGCAGCGTGGGTCCGTGCGTGCGCGCCCATTTACATCGGACGCACAGCCAGCAGCATGCAGCGCGTTAACGTATCGCGAGAATCTGGTTATGTGGACTCGCTCACCTGGACTCCGGGCTCTCGAGATGCTGCTCGAGCATATCCATGATCGATGGATGATCGGCTGTTATGATTAGCTCGTCTTCCTCGAGATTTTGCGGCTGAAGCTGAGCATTTGAATTTCGGGGACGTTTCTCACGTGAGTTGGTCACGGGACTCTGCGCCGAGGTCATGTGGGACTTTTTTCAAGTATATCGCACGGCCGCTTCAAGCTGATAGGGCAACACGCTCGGCTGTGCTCGGCAAGATGGCTGAACGCGTACGATACGTGCCTGACTGCTAGTGGCAGCAGCAGCAAATTGGAACTGCGTACGATATATGTAGGTATAGCCGAAGCAGCAACGCGATTCTGTACACACGGATCAGTCACTGTTTGCGCCTGTGTAGGTGTCGACTGCTCTGTTATACATTCGCACACACACACAAACGCCTCCGACTGCTGCTGTCTCAATAATATACACACAAGCGCGTGTTGATCTTTGAGCGCGCGCCGTCCGTCCGTCCGTCCGTCTTCTGCTGCTGCAACAGTTTTTTGTGTATATTACGTTATGACGCGCGGCGCGTGCTATGTATAAGTACGCGATTGCTCGGCAGTCGACGACGACGACGACTCCGAAAATCGAGCGTATACGATTCGAGCGCGCGACGACTGCACTTACAGTGCAGCAGTGGTATTATATTAATGCCAGAGCGAGCGATCTCGTGCCACGGATAAGCAGCAACGCGATCCATTTATACATTGCGCTCGTATAACTATATATTGCGCTACTACTTGCAATGGCCTGCTTTACTGCCTGCAACTCGGACGTGTGCATATACATACATAATATTACATGTATAAGGCTCATCGATTTTCCCGCGACTCTTATATATGCGATGCATGTGCATTAGATGTAATTCCGCCGAGAGGTAGTCAGCGCGCGCGTGCTTCGCCCTCGGCTCGGTGTCTTGAGCTTAAAAGCGGCTTTTATTTTAATACAAAAACGCGCGCCATATTTAATCGCCCTACATGTTATGCTCGCGAGCTTCGCAATAATGCTAAATGCGCATGCAGACAACAATTTATTTACACCGTGTGTCGCTCGAGGCGTAGAGGTATATAGATGGACTCGAATACCAGCAATAAAACCGCAGATGCATAGGCATTATTTAGTAGCTAAAATAGATCGTCCGGTTGATCGATCGTTGACAATAAAGTTGCGCGCGCGCGGGAGAATTTCGCCGCCGCTGCTGCTGCTGCCGCCGTCAAGCTTCGAACACGTGTGTCGTGGGCGCTTTGTTTCTGTGTCTGCCCGTCAGCTGCTGCTGCTTCGTTCGTGTTGTTAATTACGCATGTATTATAAATCAGAAAATGTCATTATTGTAGCAATGGGACTGCAAAATTGCGCGATTGAGTAAAGAAAAGGGAGTAATCGAGTTTGTCCCGACGCATATCTCGCCTGTCAAACGAAAAATCCATCGGCCCGACAATTGGCGCCTTGTGCGTTGACTTTTGACAATTGACGAACTGACGAAACTTTTGTCCCACAGTTGCGTCACGCACCACGGTTGTGTTCCGTCATGTCAATATCACGTCGGTGTGAATTACAATACTTTAGGACATTTCGCCGACAGTTAGCGGTTATACTTTGAAGAACGCACACCGAGCGCCTGCTTTTGCTACGCTTTACGTTAGAAAGAGGTTAAGTTTTTGCAAGGTCCCGCTACAAATCAAATTCCTTATCCTTGCGCGAATTTGATATTGTATCAAGATAAAATTACGAAGATTACCTCGAGTAAAACACAAATGTTTATCATGAGACGGTGCCTTAGTGTGGGTCTTCGAACGACCCTGTCTCTGCTTCAAGAGAACGTGATAAGCATGCAAAGTCTCGGTGCTCCTTTGCTCTCGATCAAGAGAAATATGCTGACAAGAAAGTCGTCCTCGGTCGAGTACAAACCGCCCGTGGTACACGACAACACAGAGGAAGGAAGACTGTTGAGAGACCAGCTCAAGGGAAAGTTGCAATTGGCCTTCACGTGCAAAAAATGTAATTCCCGGAATCATAAAATTATCACCAAGAAAGCCTACGAGAAGGGCGTAGTCATTGTTCGCTGCGAGGGCTGCAAAAATAATCACCTTATTGCTGATAATTTGGGATGGTTCCAAGGCAGTGGGCCCAAAAATATTGAAAAGTTACTCAAAGAAAAGGGAGAACACGTTCGAAGAATCAGAGACGACAGCGAAGGATACTTTGAAGTGCTCGCTAATGAGGAGCTGAAAATGATACAACAAGCCATGAAAGAAGTTCGTTCAGAATCCTCAGAAACTCCAAAAGATCAAGAACCAGAAATACACAAACTTCAATACGAAAAAGTTGGTCAAGAGCAAAAGTAATTGAAAGTATATTGTACATTATCAATGTACATTAATATGACTAGTATTATAACACTATTATAATACTAGCCTTATTGATATGTAATTAATATGACTAGTATTTTTTATAATTGTAAGATGTGGTACGTCTGTAGAGATTTTATATATTGTAACTAGCATGTGATGAGGACTGATTGATTTATAAACAGAATTTTTAATAAAAGTTGTCAATGTTATAAAAAAAACTACAGGAGAATGTAAGTTATTTTTTCTAATGATACCTTTCACAGTACCTATGCGATAAAGCTTGCATCGTTTGCCTTGTGTTTTTCAGACAAATAAGAAACTTATTAATAGATTTATAACTGTAATATTAATATATGAATTAAATTTACTTTTTCAAACAAAACAGCATTTTTGATCCACAAATACCTTTTTGGAAGTATGTAAGATTTCATAAATTATCAGAATGGTTGTTAGCTTTAATTAATGGCCTCAAGACTAAATATTTTTTTTAAAAAAGTTCATATTCCATATCAATGAAATGTAATTTATAATAATATCAAGTAACCTAAGTTTTAAAATTATACAAAGAGAATATTATAAATGCAGATTCTTGATATCCTACATCATAATCATTCTCTTGTTATTGATTAATATGCAAAACAACATCAATGAATGACTATTAAAATATTAATAATGAAGTATCTACATTTTAAGAAATGAATCGTGAATTTAAACAACATGATAATAATAAACAATGGTTAAAATTCATTTAGCAGTACATCACTATGTTTCTTAACAATTAATGTTTAACATAAATCCTTAATTATTCCTGCAAAACTTGTTCTTCTTTACAGTATGACAAGGCACTCGTGAGACTATTTGCATTAAAAAACTGACTTGTGTTACATATCAATTGCAATTTTGATTTCTTTCATGGCAAAAAAATTTTTCATGCATCTAGTCCCTTACAACATTCTTTGGTCGCTCATGAGAGAAATATCACGATTGTACACTCTGGTATTTCAGTTAATGTATACTTTATGTATAAAAGTTGTTTCCAATATGTAAATATATATATATATAAATATACAAAATATTTGAAATACATTAAACTACTCTGATTCTTTACCAGAAAATATTTCAATGCAACAATAAAATAACAAGTATAACCATTTGACGAAGTCTTTTCATAAGTACACTGGTTTGACTCTAATTGTTGAATAATTTGACATAAATATTAAAAGAAATTTGGTTCAGTTTTCTTAAAGTCTATTTTTAACAATTATCATATAACAATTAGACACTAAATCAGAGTTTTGATTAGTCAGAGAGTGTACAAGACTTGATCTGATTTGAACAAGGAACAAGATAAATGTCACGGAAGTAAAATATAAAAATCACAATTACTTTAAAGTACATCAACATATAAAATTCTTTCTAATCTTTTTGTAAAATCATCTCGATTTTTCGAATAAATTGGAATGATTACATTTTGGAAAATATTTCAAAGTAGTTATGCCTTATATTGCAAAACACCACTTTTGATGTAAAAATTTCGATTTTTCACATTTTTTAAAAACACTAATTGGTTTGTACAACCCAGATTGTTTATAAAAAAAGAAAAAACATTATGACACGCGATAAAATGACCCTCAACAGTGCAAAACATATTAAGTTTATAAAAATGGCAGTAAAAATCAAACAACTCCTCAACCTCACCTAACTATACACGTTTGGGCTTTGACACAATGGCGTATTCAGTTTCATTGATAATTTTGTGCTTTGGCTCAGAAACGGTCGGTGATGCGAGCGAAGGAATGGATTTTTTCCTAATCATTCCGTAACCGAGATGAACGTCGTCTGCCAGTCGCACCGCATTTAAATCATCCACGAGATCGTAATTACTCGCGACGGAATTCATGTCGATTGACGGTTGTGACAAATTCTGCGAAGAATTTTGCGACATTATTGAGAAGTTCGGCGTTCTGTAGCCGGATTTACTTTTCTTATTGTAAGAGCCGAAATGCTGAAGTCTGTCGTAGTCCGGCGAATCGTTTGGGCTCGGTATGTTATGAATTATGGAAGAAGTGCTGCTTTTTACAGAGCCTTGCGGAGAGATCGGATACGACATAGTTTCATAATGTGACTCTGGCAAAATTTCCTCATTCTTCAGTTTTGTTAATTTCAGCCTTTCAGATCTCTCTGTATGAGTAACATTGTCAACACCATGAGTTTTCCAGGCGTCGTTTCGTACTTCCACTAAATCGTACGAATGTTTTTCGTCGTTAGTGACAACAATGCTCTTTTGAGAATTTTCCGGCGACGTTGGAGAATTCAATTTTCTGTACTTGATTTCTTCAAAATCAAAGGGATTTTTATCCAACTTGGTAGTGAACACTGGCTTTCGCGGAGGTTTTATGGGTTTTGGTTTGGCTGGCAATGGAGGTTTCACGGGTTCAGTCGGAGATATCGGCGTTAGAAGGGTTTTCTGGGAATTCTGAGAAGAAAACGATGCAATGTCGAGATCTATGAGATTTTTAGAAGGTGGTAGTGGCGATCGAGAGCCGGCTTCCATAGATAAGGCGGCATGAAACTGCATCTCGTTATTTTCTACAGTTGGACTATTCTCTCCTCCATTAAGTAACTGTTTCATTTTTGTTTTATTGGAAACAAAGCACCTGTAGATTTCAATTTGTTTTTCATGCTCCAAACAAAAAGCACCTTCTCCTGATCCACATCTTCTTCCTGCTTCAAAAGTAAATCTTCCTTCTCGATAACCATACTTTCTAATGTATTGGTATGGCCAAGTATATAACATTTTACTGCCATCCATCAGTTTCATTTCTGTTGCACCCACTATTAGAGTGTAATTCTTCATTAGTTCTAAACCACATTTCCTAGATGCATCAGTTGCTGCTATCCTTACTGTAAAAACACCTTCTCCGCTGGTGCAGTATAAGTCATTATCTTCTTCAACAGCTAAATTATTACAATACTCATCTTTAAAAGCAACTGATTGAAATGCATTTATCCATGTTGACATTTCTGCTTCAGAGGAGCATCCAAAGTGATAGACTCCTGTTTTAGTGAGTAACTAAAAAATATAAATGTTAATAAATATGAAATAAAAAATTTATATTATTTATACTCACAGTAAAGACATGAAGTTGATTACTGGGAGAAATTTTCACGCATGCTTCAAGCGTGATAATTTTTTGGTTGTGTTGCAGTGGAGAAGCATCTTCTTGACTCTCATGAATTTCAAGTCGTTGAATGCCATACTTGCTAGCTTTGAAGATTTGACAAAATTTTTTGTGCCAGGTTTTCTAAAAAATATGTAAAGAAATTCCATTTAATGCATTGAACCAAAATGATAACTATTTGGAATATATTAGATTTCAATATCAATATTTGGTTCATCCGTTCATTGATGAGTAACAAATTTTTTAAATATGACACCTTTGTTATTTGGCTGGGATAAAAAAAAATATGTTCAATAAGTCTTAGCACTATATCAAACAAGAAATGATTCATGCCTTACACAATTTAAATATTAGTTCATGAAGCAAGTAATATTAAATATCTTGATGTATTGCAAATGAAAATAATTAATTCTGTGAATATTTCATATTTGATAAACAATTGTCAAAATACTGGGTCAAGAATTTAAAATATGCTTTAATGATCAAATTCCAATCATGTTAAAACAAAGTTGTATTAAATTAAATGTGATCCAATATTAAAATTTTGACACAGGAAAGAATGAAGCTGATAAGGCATGTGATATTCATGTAAAAAATTTGTCTGGCCACAGTTGGCCAAGTATATAAATTATTATAATTAGCATAATAAATTCGGCACAAGACAACTTTCTAAAATATAATCGAATTTTTAGTATGCATGTGAACCCATGTGGCCATTTCCGAAAAAAGGCCCGATAAATGCTAATATCATCCAACAATTAAAAAATTGCAATACCGAATAATTCCCGACGATCTTTTTGTTTGCAAGCAAAAATGAGCGTGTTATCGAGTCGACGAAAACAGGAAAATCGTCGAACACAAAGGTTTTAGAACAAGGTGGTCCGAATTGTCGCAAAACAAAGATACCAAAAAGGATGCAGGTTATAGATTGAATGCATATATAGACTGAAACGCGCAACAGGTATATAGACAGAAAGTAAAAGAGAGAGAGAGAGAGAGAAATAGAAAGAGAGAAAGAGAAGTGCATGCATTTATATTATTACGAACCTTGAGTTGTCCGAGCATGCCCTGAGGCGGCAAGAGCAAGTATCCCTGTAGAAGCGGCTCATCTGCCTCCATCATTTAAAGCCAGGTTCTCGCTCGAACGGCAGCGATGTCAATGACAGCGACGTCAATAATCGGGCGCCTGCACCTTTGTTATTTTTCCTGCGGACGCCTCTTACTCCAAAAGAGAAAACAATGTCGATCGAGCAGTGTACACAAAAATATATGTGTGCGTAATGTGTATGTATACGTGAGTGTATAATAAGTATTCGATTGGCACTCAAGACACTTCGAGGGGGGTGCGGCAGTAAGACAGCACGATGTCGCACGTTTTAATTGAAATTATATTCTTACGCGCGAACCTATGCGTGTATCCATGCGTTATGTTTCTTGAAGTTAAAAAAATTCGTTGTCCGTGAAAAAGAAAGAAAGGAGGATGATAAAAATGCCTTGACCGCAGCAACTCGGGCTACGGCTGCACAAGCAAATCCTCTTGGCCGATTAGTAGCAGCAGCAACGACAGTGGAAGCGAGTCGGCGAGTCTAACCTCCATTCCTGCACCGATTATTCAGCCCATTTTCGCTGGGTCGATATGAGAATTTCTCGCTCTCAAACAATGCACATGCTATTTTGCTTTTGCGCTGCACACGCAGAGTGTCGACGACGACGACGACGACGAGAATGCTGCAGCTGCAACATCAGCTCGCGGAACGTTACACGATAACACAGAGCTGTCCCGCACACGCACATACACACACCGCGCACTACGAGCTACCTCTCTCTGCTGCGATCTGCACACGTTTAAAAACACACACACACACACACACGCAGAGAGAGCTGCAAAGAGAGCAGCAGCGACAGTCGACACTGACCGCACACTTACTTTGTATATTATAAATACAAGACTCGCTGAGCAGCGGCAAAGAGGCAGCAAAGCGACTGCAGCAACACACACGGCGCGTGCGAGGCCAGTTCTACATCGCGCTCGAAACTCGCGAAAGTGCCGATACATCGGCTTTTTACGACCGGGGATCGGGACCGCTGCGAGACTGTTTTACCTGTATGTAACGTATATATATGAATGTGTGCACATCCACTCACTTTCCGAGAGAGTGACAATTGTGCAACGTTCCGGAATTTCGTGAAAAATAAAAAAACACCTCTTTTCAGCTAAATTATTCATTACCGAATGTAGGAATACCGAGTAGAGTCGAGTTCGGCGATGTCATTTTACCAACTGCTCAATAGTAAAAAAGTGAAAGTAAACCGCAAGTATGTGCGATTTTTTTCAAAAAAAAATAGAGCAAAAGTTGTCGAAACCAATCTGTGCGATCGGTCGTACTCATTGAAACTCCAAAACAGAGTCGCGTGTTCAGCCCAAAAAGCTCGATAATGCACCATCACCGATCTTTGGGGTTTTTCGGGCATTGGACTATAATATGTATCTTCTCTGCGATTTTCACTCCGTTATTTAGCGAATTCTCATGACAAGATGTGGATACGAAGTCGATCGTGCGCGAAAAAAATGATAAAAGTATCCCCCACACGCGTGCACGCACACGAGTTAAACGCGCTAAACGTGCGCAATACGAGCGAGCTGTCAAAGCACGTGTGAACGATGTATAAACATAACGCGAGATATCTGTATCTGTATCAACAAAGAGGCGCGCACACCTCTATTGTGTATTATACACCTGTCATTCGAGCGCTTCGCGAGCAATCACGCGGCAATCATCAATTTCTTCTTTTTATTTTTCTTATACAGTACTCAGTAGCGTGCCCGACCCGATTGCCACTTCATTTTCGAGTGGTTTTTAAATCGTCGATAGGACGGTGTTGGTATGGGTACTTACTTATATATGGGTCAAAATAATACTTTTTTACAAAACCGTGAGCACGTATGTCACCGATTTTGACGCGCTTTTGGTATGTTATAGTACATGAAAGAAAAGTGCCAAAACCAAAATGTTGGACCCCCTCCCCCCTCCTATCCCACACTTCCGGTATAAACGTCTATTTTCTATTTATATTTATCCTGCAGCTCTGAAGTAATTAAAAACTCTGAAAAAATTCATAAAAATACTTTTCAACAATCCAAACAACCATGAATTTTTTCAGATTTTTTAAGGGGACATTCCCATTACAAATTATAAAAAAAATCACTTTTTAAATATTTTTTTTTTGAAAACTATAATTTTTATTCATTCCGAACTTTTTGGGTATTGTTTCTTACATATTAAACTACAAAAAAAATTTTTTTATGGGACTCAAGACCCATTTTGTTGGCTGTAGACGGAATTTGCTGAAATCCGTGTTTCGGCTCTTAGCAGCGATTGAGAAAAAACTACTAGTCCGATCTTTACGTTTAACGTCTAGTTTTAATCGTTACAACTTTCTCTAGAAGACAAACCTCTAAAAAATTGATATTTTCAATTTTTACGATTTTTGCACGAATTTTTCTTTAAAAAACTCTCTTCGGTGGTTATGGGGGTGAATTCACCTCTATAAAAAGAATTGGGGATGATTTTTTCAACTTTTTAGAGGTTTGTCTTCTAAAGAAAGTTGTAACGATTAAAACGAGACGTTAAACGTAAAGATCGGACCAATAGTTTTTTCTCAATCGCTGCTAAGAGCTGAAAAATGTAGTTATGAGAAAAACGCGTCCAAAGTTTTGTTCTGTACATATCGAGCATGCTAGACGCTTCGTTTAATCGGGCATAATTTTTTTTCCTTTTTGAATTTCGTTCTAAAATTTTAGCAGGATATTTTTATGATGTCAAAGAACGTTTTAACGTAAAAAAAAATTTATCGATTTTTTTTTCATTTTCAATGGGAATGTCCCCTTAATTACTTCAGGGCTGCAGGATAAATATAAATAGAAAATAGACGTTCATACCGGAAGTGGGGGGTAGGAGGGGGGAGTCCTTGTACTATAACATACCAAAAGCGCGTCAAAATCGGTGATATACGTTCGCACGGTTTTGTAAAAAAGTATTATTTTGACCCATATACATATTACGCATGTCACGGCGACAAAATTAAAAAGTTGGAGTGAACATTGTCGTCGTGTTCGTCGTGAGCAGCACTTGAAAAAAAGAAGGAAAACTCGTTATTGGCACGAAAATGAGAGTATGAAAAACTACGTAATCGCATGTAAAAAAAAGAATTCCAGCACGACTTTTTTTCATCCATCCTAAAGTTTGTTTTGAAGTTTGTTGGAATTTACTTGATTATAGTCTTTGAAGATTTTTAATTTACTTTTTCAGACTTACTCAATTAAAAAGTAAAATATGTTTTTTGGTTTTCATTGACTGAAATATCAGTTGGAATACGATTTTTAAAAAGAAAAGTAAGAAAAACAAAGCAACAAGGAAATGGCTCATTTTTAAAATCGATAAGCAAGCGAGTAGACTCGTTGAGCCCTGACCCTTCGCAGCATGCGACGACTTTAGCTCTAAAAAGTTGATCATATTCTTACGATTTTGGGGCTCGCTTATTTCCATCAATCAAACATTCCCTTATAGTTTAGTTTGGAAATAAAGCTCAGTTGGCGAAAGTACATTAGTATATCGAATCATAGAACTCCGTTTTTTATTTACCGAAATATTTTAAATAAGTTGGAATTATAGTGGACGAAATACCAGAGGGTGATGATTTAATTTTAATATCTAATGTTCACTATAATCCCAACCAATTCTCACTAACTTTTCATTTAAAAGTATATTATTGAAATAGTTTCATTCGCGCGCTATTTGCACTTTTTACGCAGTTGTTACCTAAATGTCCATTCATATAAATAGCTATTCGGAAACAATTTCGAAAGTATTTCTGCAACCTGTAGCCAATCGTCGAACTTTTATTAGCCTGCAGCCATTTATTTATAGCTATCCTGTAATTATCCTTTCGATTGTTTCTGCAAAGATTTTTTCTTTTTATTTTTTTTTTGTATTCAATATCGGCAAAGTATAGAAAAAAAAGTAATCAACGAGTTCACGTTACAAAACTAATGAGTAAAAAGTAAGCAAGTATTTGTTTCTATCTTTTTAAATCAATCATACTCGTATACAGCACTTTGAAGAAGCTTTACGATAAAATAGAACAAAATCGTACCGAATCGATACGGCTACGTAACAATTAATGAAGCAATCCACATACACGGCCTCAACCCCGATCCCTTCGCTCGGGTGACCGCGATTTACTTCTTCTTTTCTGCCCTCGCGTATGCGTTGTAGTCCGCGCGATGTATATTTGTGAGAGAAAAAAAAAAACAATAAAATAAAAAAAAATGGAATCGCTGAGTGGAATTATGATTAGAAAAACGAAGCGGACGAGACGTAGTTTCGAGCACGCTACCGAGCCACGATGAGCTTGATCATCAGCAGTGCCGTGTGTTCACTAGCTCTAATTTTGACGTGTCTCCGAGTACTGGTCGCCGCTTACAATGACTTCCCGTCGTTGATTACGTCCAACGCGAGCATGGGTGAGTGAAAAATCTTCGTCTTTGCCACGCGAGCATCGTTGCGCTATTCATTTTCGAAATTATCGTCCGCTTTTTTTTACGCGCCAGCCGTCATCGTGGAGAAGAGTTTTTTCAAAGATGTCGAGGATTACCGTAGAAGCATGTCGCAAATGTCGGACCTGATCGCCGACGTGACGAGAATGCACATGAAATCAAGCGGCTTGGCGTACACGATTTTCGGCGACACCAACGTAAATCTCGGAAGAGGTGGGCATGCTTGAGAAACATTGCTAAAAATAAAATGAAATAAAATATCTTGAAAAGTCACACTGCACGTGGTGCTGGAAATTACTTTTACACCTATACTTCTGACACGATGGCGAATTTTTTGTTGTCGCTGCTGCAATTTATTAGATTACATCGTTTTGCTGTCTGTGGCCAGCTGCCAGTCGACTTGGCAGCTTTACAAACGAGCTCAGAAGGAAAAACTCGCCTACCTCGCCATAACAGGTGAATCTCAATATCAGTATCGGGCTCGTGCACTTTTTTTTCTCTTATTTAGAGTAAAAATTCACTCGATGCAAAAGTAATGTTTGAAAAATGTATTTATTTGAACTGGATGAACAATTTATAAAACTTAAAAACATTGCATATAAAAAATACAACAAATATGTTTATACCCGTGTTGAGCAATGGAGACAGCGCTCAAGTGGCAGATTCTGAACCTTACCGAATGTCAGTTCTGATGCCGTTTTGAGCCGAGAACGCGTAGTTCTTCAAACCATTACAGCGCGATTAAAAAATGCCCTCCTCACACTCAATGCGTATGTAACGTAACGAAGTTTAACTGGAAAAATGATGCCCAAGATCCTGACTGTCCGAGGCTACCGGAAGGTCACGGATTAAGCATGCCGCTGCTTCGTCCGGGTGACGAGTTATCGCAGATCTTCTTCGATCTCCGCATGACCAAGACGATATCCTGGCCGAGGATCAATTTCATCTACGACGATACTTTCGGTAAAAAATATAAACCCACAAGTACAAGGTTCGTTTTATCCAAAATTAATCATTAAATCAAATTTTTCAGAACGCGACATGATAAGCCGAGTCGTCAAGGCCCTGTCGATCGAGCTGCCCAATCGAGATCTCACTCTGTCGGCGCGCGCCCTCTTCTCGACCAAGTACGAGCGCGACGAGGCGGCCATGCTCAAGCTGCTGCACGAGACCCTCGCGAACTTTCGCCTCGACGAGCTGGGCAGCTGCTTCATGGTGATCGTGAGCGTCGACATGATCGAGGCGGTGCTGCGCGTCGCCAGGCAGCTCAGGATGGTCAACCCGGAGAGTCAGTGGCTCTACGTGGTCACGGACGCCTCGGGCCGCGAGGCCAAGGTCTCGTCGTTCGTCGACCTGCTCGCCGAGGGTGACAACGTGGCCTTCGTCCACAACACCACGCAGATGTCGCGCGACTGCAACGTACATATTACAATATAATATATAATAAGAAGAAAATTTCTCAATAGTTTACTATCCTTACGTTAAAAGCTTTCGTGCGGAGATTCATTTATTTTTGTTTCGTACAAATTGTTGGCGTCGTTCTCGTGTTCAGATGGGCTTGACGTGCCACCTGAGCGAGCTCGTGCGAGCTTTGGCACTGAGCTTGGAGCAGTCGCTGCACGCCGAGCTCGAACTTTACGAGCGAGTCACCGAGGAGGAGTTCGAAGTTGTTAGACTGTCAAAAGCCGAGCGTCAAAGGGAAATCATTAGTAACGTTAATGTAAGTTGTTGTTGTTGTTGTTGTTGCTGCTGCTGCTGCTGCTGGCGCGTCGAATTAACTTTCGCTCGCATATATGAAAGAACGGCCAAAGTCTTCTCATTAAGGCGGCGACTTTTAATGACTCGCAAACAAGCGCCATTATATGAAATATTATCCGTGCTAAGCGTAATAGAGCTGTTTCATTGATTAAGAGGCTACTGCGCAAAGATCGCAGCTGGGCCGACTGCGGCGAGTGCGTGTCCTGGTCCGTGACCTCGGCCATTACCTGGGGCACGTCGTACGGACGCAACGAGAGCAGTGCCAGTGGCCATACAGCTTCGAGATCCGAGGGATACCTGATCGACACGGGCAACTGGGCGCCGGCCTTCGGCGTCAACATGACCGAGCCGCTCTTCCCGCACGTGAGCCAGGGCTTTCGGGGCATAAATCTGCCCGTCACCTCGTACCACGTAAGTCGCCCTTCGCTTTATTTATTATTTATACTAAATATAAAACCTTTAAAACGTTTTACAAGCATTCATTTCTCTTTTGCCGCATAGAATCCACCGTTTCAAGTAATAAGCCAAACGAGCTCGGGCGGTCTCCAGTACAGCGGATTAATCTTCGATATTTTGAATCACCTGAGTCTGAAATTGAATTTCACGTACACGATGCAATTGCTTCCCGGCTTCTCGCCAGTAGCAGCAGCGGCAGTAGCGAAGGAAACGGCGGCGAGTTTTATGACTGACAACGTTACCTCATCGAAGGTAAACTGCCGAGGAGAGGAGAAAATTGAAATCGATAAAGTATGTTTTCTCTCACGGCATATAGATACACCTCCCACGCATGTACTGCAGTAGCCTGCAGTGTATATATATGCCAGAGACTGTATACGCTTTTTCCTTGGCCCCGGTGAGCACACGTACACGCACACACGCGCTTATATAAAGGATGGCATACAACTTATTTCCAACCTACTGATATTTACGCCCACCCTGGGGACTCTCCCGATATACTAGTGGCAACGTTGTTTTTTAAACTTTAAATTTTAAATTAAACTTGGTCATCGGTCGTAACTTTCAAAGGCTACCGGTTGAGCCTCAGCGCCAGGGTCGCGTACGCTTCCTCGGAACATCGATGCTTACGGCCACTACCACGGGTGAGACGATTGAACTCATAGGTCACTCTCAGTAGTTTTATGATTCAAATTTCGGTAAAAACGACAAATGAAAAATAATTACGCAATTAGAATACGCAAAAGAAGAAAAAAATTTAACACGTAAAGTATAGGAAAAAGGTTTATGGAAACAGTTGTATCTCAGTGCACAATCAAAATTTGGAATTACGAAAAATGCAATGAAAAGAGAAGATAGAATCCAACTCAAAAATGTAATAAAAAAATGTTGAGTTTAAGGTGTCATAAGCCCTTAAGATCTATGTTATTATCTAAAGAAATACATAAATGGCTTCAAATAAATATAAAAATTTTTACTTTTAAATTTAATTTAAATTTTTAATTTTTGCTTACATAGCGATTTTGATTTCGTTTGTATGACTACTTTTTCCGGGTTAAGGTGATGCCTTGGCCACAATTTTTACCGACCGAGCACAAAAAATGTATATTTTCGTAACTTTTTTTCCAAGCTGATTTTCGAAAAACGGCTCTGTGGAGCCTTCCGTATTGTTGCTGCGAACAACGACGACAAATTTCAGTCAACTTCAACGGATAGTTTTCCCGGAAAACAGGATCAAAGTTTTTTATCCTGCAAACAATAGTCAAAAATTTCGATCCTGTTTTCCGGGAAAACTACCCGATGAAATTGGCTGAAATTTGGTACAGTTGTTCACAGCAACAATACGGAGGGCTCCACAGAGCCTTTTTACGAAAATCAGCCTGGAAAAAAAGTTACGAAAATATACATTTTCTGAGCTCGGTCGGTAAAAATTGTGGCCTAGGCATCACCTTAACATTGCTGAAAAAATACATGTGAATTTATCCGAAAACTTAATTACAATTATTTGATGTCCCAAGGCAAAAAAAAGAGTCAGAGAAAAGATAATATCGACAAGGTCAAACATGGAACAAGTATTCATATTTTACGTTAGTAGTAAAGTAACAAATAAATAGCTGTCAAAATATCTAACGAAATTTTCGTTTTTCGCGCTTTCCTTCATATTTCTGGGACCTCAATAAAAATTATCCTCGACCATTGCTAATGTCGTTACATAGATATAAATGAATGCAGCTGATGTACATGCAGCTCATAATGTAGATGGTAAGCAAAAAGAAAATACGTAATATTGTGTGTGTGTGTATAGGTACAGCTTGACGTACCGACGTCCCACGCGACTCAAGTGCCGCCTCAGCTGATGGAGCTCGTGCGTAAACGCAAAGTCTTCCTGGGCGCGATGGCAATAACCGTAGGCGACAATCTGCCTGGCGTCAATTTCACCGCTACGGTCAGCACGCAGACCTACGGTTTGATGCAGGCCAAGCCCGAGATACTCTCGCGGGCTCTGCTCTTCGTGGCGCCCTACACCAACGAGGTATATTATTATATCTGAGATGACAAAAGTATCGAACTTGTACGAGTCAAGCGTGACCGAGATCTTTTTTTTTACCTAGGTTATTTTTATTCTGCATAACGAACTTGAGAGACGGTAATTACCGTCCAGGCCGTGTGTATATAATAAGCTGCGCTGCAAGGCAAAAAAAGTTCCATAGCGATAACGTAGAACCTTTTTGTCGCGCGCAGCAAATGAATATTACGAAAGCCTAATTTACGCGACTCGCGCACGAGCTCCCATTATTCGAGCTTCGTCGAGCGATGAAAATTGAATCGCTAATCGCGAAAGTACAGAGTCTACCGTTGTATTATAATAGAGCAATTTTGCCGCTGCTTTATACCTTCCCTTTTTTTCTATCTCTCTTTCTGTATCCGCATCGTTCGTCTAGGCCTGGGCTTGCTTGATCTCGGCTCTCATCCTGACCGGGCCCTTTCTTTATCTCATGGTGAAGTGGAGCCCCCTGAGCGCCGACGATCGCGGCAGCCTCGGCCTGGCCACCTCCTGGCAATGCTCCTGGTACGTTTACGGCGCTCTGCTGCAACAAGGTGAGATCTCTCAGCGATGATGAAGAAAATCACTCGAGTATTGTGATCATATGCACGAATGTGTGCCGCACAGGTGGGATGAATCTACCCAAGGCCGACAGCGCGCGACTAGTCGTGGGCACTTGGTGGCTCGCCGTGATGGTCGTCGTGGCCACGTACTCGGGCAATCTCATAGCCTTCCTCACGTTTCCGCGCACCGACGCGCCGATCGATAGCGTCGACGATCTGCTCGGTCGCAGCAACGAGTTCGTCTGGTCCTTTGCCAACGGCAGCGTCGTCGAGAGCTATCTCTCGCTCGCGGCCGCCAACGGTGACGTCAAAGTATATACAACAGCGACAATCGTGAAAAAATGTTCACAAATATTCTCTAAAGGACTCACTTTAATAAAATAAATAATTTACTTAAAGATCCATTTTATTTACCTTGGTAGAAATGCTTAAAATTGCAAGGTTAATTTTTGGTCAAGGAAGAAGTTACTTGGAAATACATAGGACATTGAAATCGGACACACGTTTTTTGGACATATAACTCTCCATAACGTTTTTTTTATTTATTTTTTTTTAACTCTTTTTTACACTATATAAATTTTTTTTCAGATCATTTAAAATGCGCTCAATACCTATGATCATAACATAATCGTACAAAAACATTCCAATTAATAGTCATGCGTCATATTTCTACCTAGGTAAAAAAGTATTGAAGTGACAGAAAACGATTTTTGCAAAACTTCTGTTTCAGCCAACGAATTATTTACATTTGAACTTATCAAACGTAGATACTAAATTATCATTTTTCAGTGAAACTATTATCAACAATATACGAATTATGCACAAATTGTATATTTGTCTTGCACAGTACAAGGAGCTGTTTGATGGAGCGACGCGTCAGGAAACGTCGAAAGCAGCGAACATTTTGGAATCCGTAAAACGCGACAAGCTCGTTTATATCGACTGGAAGATGTCGCTGGAACATCTCGCGACTTCGGATCTCAAGAGCACTGGTGGCTGCAATTTACACGTCGGCGCCGAGGACTTTTTGCCGGAGAACCTGGCGATGATGATCGCCGGCGACAGTCCCTATCTGTCCTTGATCAATGACGCGTGGGTGACTTTTTTTCTTATTTGTTACTTGAAATAAATAACGAGACATGCGGTTGTACGAGTCGCTCGTTGATGCAGGATAAAGCGTATGCACGAGTCGGGTCTGATAAAGAAGTGGACCGAGGATAGGCTGCCACCGAAAAACAAGTGCCACGGAAACATGAAGGGTCAAGAGGCCACGAATCACAAGGTCAACATGGGCGACATGCAGGGGATATTTTTCGTCTTGGCAATCGGTATGTGTCATGTATATAAATCAATGCGATCGATACCGCTGCGAAACGTTTGAATAGATAATGATATACGATCGCGTCGCTCGTTCGCAGGATTCACGGTGGCGGCGATTTTCATCGGTACGGAGCTCGTGTGGCACAGAAAAAAAGAAGCTGCCGAGAAAGTCTTTATCAAGCCATTCGTCTCTTGAAATTCTTCTTCTCGCTGCCTGAACAATACATTATTCACGCGCATAGAATTAATTCACACACACGAATACGCATACACAACATTTTATGTAACTATGATTTGTTTATAACTTTTATTAAAACTTATCGAATGAAAATTAACGACACCTGCCGTATCTTTATCTAGCACTTTATTGCCGTCGTTATATAGAAAACTAGCTCTTGTGATACAGCCGCTTACCTCACCCTCTCTCCCCGAGATCCTATAAAATTGATTATAAAAATTTTCTATGTCAAGACTCAATGTCTCATTCATTAGAAGACGCGCGTAAATGTGTATATATAGTTGTATAAGCTCGCAACACACACTATATAGCAAAGGCTGCTTTAAATCTTATATAGCGTCTATGCACGTGATATTGCATCCTTTAATGCGAATGGAATAATTACTCGTTACCGCCGTCGTATACGGACACGCTCGATGCTTGAAGATATAGCTGCAGTATCGCATAGTAAAAGTGCTGCTGCTCTCTCGTGCCGGTGCGAGTCGTCGTTGTCGTCGTCGTGCGCTCAGTAGTAGGCGCATATGCATAGTAAAAAATTTCGCAATACGCGTATAACGCCGAGCATGTAATGTATACAATAATCGCCGCGTTAGGCTCTCGTGCTGGTGCGCGCGCGCGCGAGGATGAAAGCAGCAGCAGCAGTAACGGCGGCTTGTATTCCTTTGAAGATGTGCCACGATCTGCACGCGAAGCTCGAGAGCCGCGAAATTGGGACGAGCGTTTACATTTATAAAGATTTGTGCGCGCGTCCTTTTGTCTACATATCTGCCTATGTTATTACGGCGCTTATGTATATCATAACTACTGCACGTTTATGTATACGTAAGGTGATAATCGGTTCGAGAACACGACGACAAATTTGGACCGGAATTTTTGCGAGCACGCACATGTGTATACACAAGTTTCCCTCGACCATTATCAAATACTGCTCCGTATAAAACTTTCAAATTCCGAATTGCTCCGGCCTAAAATACATTAAAACTTTTTTCCGCGCGGAAAATGAGTGCGTTAGAGGAGGAGGAGAAAAAAAAGCCCCAGCAAAGTTGCCCTCGAGTGCATTTGCGCCGCGCGTATAAACGCGAACCGTACGGATAGTAGTACGTGTCCTGCTTTGGGCGCGCGGAGAAGAAGAAGTAAGAAAAAGCACGCAGCTGCCTTTGCACTTACCTTTAATCTCCCTTTGTTCCCTTATTTCCTAAGCATCCTCGAGTTTAAAGATGCTCCTCAGTTTGCCAACGAGTTATTATAATAAACAAGTTTTTCAAGACGTCCGTGCTTGCGCACGCGGCTTTTACACCATACCCGCGATAAAGCTATGGATATTGTATTAACGCAGATTCTCTATAAAGTGGACTTGCCAGCTGTTTTTTCCTTCTTTTTCTCAACTCTATGTAGACATCATTTCATTAAAAGTTTAATGAAGTTCGTCTGATGAAAATCGCTCTTCTTCATTCTAATGCAATTTTAAATGTTTGCATTTTGGATTTTCACAATTGAGAGCTTGATTTTTGCACGAGATTGGTGTTTCATAGGTGTGATTCATGTAAGCGTGCAGCAGGTGGCAAATGAAGTGCTAGCATCGGCTATTATCTCGAGCACGTAATCTCAATTTTCGTACAAGAGAAAAACAAAGAGTCGGATTAACGACGAATGACCTCTTTTGCAATTTATCAATGTTATGTAATGTACACACGCGGTGCGCGGTGAAACCTCGATCGGCCAGGCGCAGCCGGCTAGAAGATGCATTTTCCAAAGCTACAGAAATAAATCATACGACTCGAGGCGAAGTTTCTAAAAGCTGTTATAGTATCGTGCACGATCTTAAAATCTAAATATCCAGCGAGGATCGGCCTTTATTAGCTCGACCGAGCGAGCGACGAGACAAGGATTTTCATTTGGAAATTTTAACGCGCGCGACGGCCTGTACGTTCCTCGTTAAAATCCAATGTTAACTGCCTCGGCGAAATTGTCATGCCGCGCGTATAATGTTTATACAGCGACTGCTAGCGCTTAACCTTGCTACAATAGAGCTGCACAATAAGGGGGAGAGTCGTGCATAGTATTAAACGCCTCTGGCTCGCGCCCGGATTGTGGGACCTTTGCGTGGCGAGACCCGAGCGCCTCAGTGTCAGTCCCGACGCGACGCGCGTCAAGATCGGCCGCGGATGCGCCTCGATAAAGAAAAAAGTCAGCGACGGAGCAGAAAAAAAAGCGAACAATTATACTCTGTGCGATGTAAACTCGAGAGAGCGAGATTTTCAACCTTATCCAAGTGAAACAATAATAGGAAGAAATAATTAACAGCGACGAAAATGAAGCAACTCGTCGTGTTCAGTGTTCTTATTGTCTTCGCAGGATGCTTCTTCATACCCAGTAAGACTTATTGCTTTTTGTGTTCTATTTTTTCCTTTTCCAAGACTCTACGCACACTTTTATACGAGGCAGATCATAGCTATACACACTTTTCTTTCATTTCTCGTATATTGCGCTTTATATTTCATGCGCCGCGCGGAGAGGAGGATTATTTCTCCCTCTTACTTTCGGCTTTCGCTGGTATTATTTCGGGTAAACATCTTAGTTTTTTTCGGGTCACGTACACACTCACGCAATGCAGTAATGCATTTTTAATGTTACACGCGTCTTTTTTCGGTTCCGAGGATAAAAGCATATAATAATAAGGAAGAATTATCTCTATCAGAGTCCATTCAAAGCTCGCACCGTGATAATAATCAATATTTATTACGATCTATTTGCGCTGGCGTACCTGGCGGATATTTGATCAAAAAAATGCTTCATTTATATTTACTCCGGAGCTGTAACGTCGTTTGAGCGAGAAGGCAAAGTATAGACGTTAGAATATATTTTTTTCTTTCTTTTTTTCTGTTACAAAAGAGCTACGTCTTCGCTGGTTATATATACATGGCTAGGTCGAAGCTTTCCACTCCCGGGGTCGCAAATCGAATTCGAGATTTTCTTCTCTTGTCGCTTGTTGCGTGCGAGCGACGCCTATATAGCTCTGTGCAGCACTGAGCAAGCACTTCGACGTTATTTATAAGATCAATGGAAAATAAAGTCAGCAGGGAATTTTCGCTTCTCTCTCCAGGACGGATATATAGATAAAAATAAACTCACAGGTGGATTACCTGCGCACCCACGCTATATACCACGCCGAGAAGCATAAGAAGAAATATGACGTCTAGGCAGGCTGCGCGGACGAGGTATATAGGAAAATTTAAAGGATTTTATCTTGCCGCTGTTGTTGTGCGGGATTGGTATGGGTGTGAGTGGAAGTTGCTCAAAAACAAATAAAAAGACTTTCTTAAATACGTGTTAAAGTAGCGCACGACAGGCTGATGAATAATGTGCAAAATATAAAAACATCAGCACAACTATCCGGAAAGTCGGGTGGGTGTTGAGTTTGAAAAACAAAATATCGCCGTTGAATAAGCAGCCGAGCTGAACTTTAACCTCTGCTTCTTTCTGACTTGGATCAAGTGTTCCAAAAAGAATTAAAACTTTGCCTTATCGTTGATTAATCCGCACATACGTATACGAGAAAAGAGGGTAGTAAGAAAAGAGTTTACGTAGATTAACTTCGAACTCTTATCGTATGAAAATTTGCATATTGTCTTTATACGATGTAGGTCTTGGTATGTGGGTTCTCCTTTTCAATGGCGCCCGAAAAGAAAGAGAGAAAGGAGATTGCGCAATTTTGCACCTGCCAAATTCTTCAAAGAGTAATATTAATAACTGTTCTTTCTAACTCGCTGCTACGTTTTAATTAACAACGCTCATTTAAAAATGTGCAATATCAAGCAACGTCAAAAAGTGAATTTCCATTATAAAAAAGAAATTAGCCGTTAATAGACTAGCAACGTAGTAAATACGTTTCGTAATGAGAAGCTGCACGCAATCTGACAATCAAGATATTATACAAGCATTTGCCTCTTTCTTTGTATTGATATAAGCGGGCGTTGTCGCTTGCATTAATTACTCCTCGTCGTTGTGAACTTCATACACGCTTGCGTCTCTTTTGCAAAATTTCATATCAAGTTCGATCGCACGGCTGGGCGCATTACCAAGAGGTCGTCGCGCAGCCACCGCCGAGTCATCAACAGCAGCAGCAGTATCAGCATCAGCAATCCACCTGGTACAGGTATCGTCTGCCGCCGGCGCCTCGTCGACCCGTCGACGTGATGGCCGACGTGATAAACGACCTCGGCGTTCGGATACTCCAGCAGTACGTGGACACGGGCAACGTCGCCTTCTCGCCCGCCGGTCTCGGCTTCATTCTGGCCGCTCTGTACGAGGGCACCGCCGGCCGAGGCAGACAGCAGATCGTCGACGCGCTGGCCTTGCCCAGGGACAGGAACGTCGCCAGGATGGGCATGCGTGAGATTTACATGCGACTGAGAGTACGTTTCGTTCGTAAATCTTCGAATCGAGTTCGGTGCGAGCCGCCTCTTTTACGTTACTTTTCATACAGTCTTACTTGAACCCCGACGGCTTCCTGGGCGGCCTGAACTTGAATCGCGAGAACACGACGCTGCGCGACGAGTACGAGACGATCCTGCGATTCTACGGTTTCGATCTGAGCGTCGATCTGTCCAATATCACGGCCATCAGCAGCACTCCGTACTTCGGTCTGAAGGGATCCTCGGCGACGACCCTGACACCCTCGACCATCAGCACGATGCCCACGACGATGGATACTACGGTGCCCACGACGATGCCGCCTACTACGCAGCAGACGAGTGAGTATACGTAACGTGTCTTTTCGACGAAAATTGCCTCTGAAAATCTTCCGAAAAGTAAAGTGAGACGCATTTGTGCGAATTCAGCTCCGACGCCGACAACGCCAGAAGCGACGACTCAACCAGCGACTCCGGCCAACATCGTGCAAACGACGTTACCGTCCACGGCAGCAGCCACGAGGTAAGCACGCACGACACAAATTTTAATCAGTACAAAGTTGCCTCGCGCGTCGAGTCGAGAGTAATTTTCGAGCTGCCCTGAAAAGTGCCGCGACTCAGCCACCCACCACAATGCCGACCACCACCAGCAGCACTACTACGACTACGGCGAGAACGACTATTCCGACGATTGCGGTGACGCTGCCGAGGGTCGTGCAAACGACACCGCCGGACTTTGATTTTCTCACGGCGGCCACGGAGCCAACGAGCACTACCACGGTTACTACTACGACGACGACGATGGCAACGACGAGGCTCCCGCAGGAGACGACCACGGCCGGTTTCATGATATTCGAGGACATAGCCACGGTGGTGCCGCCCGTAGTCAGGCGCAGAAAAGCCACGCGAAAGAGAAGGAAAAGGAGCGACGGATACTTTGTTAATTATCACGGTAAGAGCGGCTGGGAAATTATCATTAAGCGGAAAATCAATAAGGAAATTGTGCGCGCACCTCGAGATTGGATCCAGCCGTTTCTTTTGCAGAACGCGTCGTGTAAAAAGTCCGCACTATCTAGATATCAGTTAGACCAATTACAGCGCGGAAACAAAGGCTCCATTGTCCCTAATTTTTTTTGTACCCCCCTTGTGGAAAATATAGCTCGGATCGCGTGCAGCAGCACCTGCAACAATTTAACGTTCGAATCGCCGCCACCTCCGCTCAAAGCGATCATATATTTCAACAAATCATCCGTCGCGTTGATTGAAAATATCAGCGGTCGGCGGCTCTTTCACCTGTAATATACGCGCGAGTAATTACGCGCGCCGCGACCGTACGTGTGGCTGCAATATTGCGAAACAACTTAAATTCCGCATCGATTGCGCTCGCGTTGCTTGCTGCTGTTGCTGCCTCGTTGAACTATGCACTGCGCTGCAAAACTCGCGCGCGAGCTCGAAATCGTAATTTAATCATGCGATATATTTGCCACGCTGCGAGAACTTTCATTATCATTGTTGTACGCATGCACGCGTTTAAAATATGTGTATGAGCGTGCGTAGACGACGGCTGGTGGATGCAGGACCTCGATATCTGGGCGGACCAGCCGATACAGCCGACCAACGCCCGGGACGCGACCGAGCTGCAGTTCCTGATAAACGGCTGCGAGATCGCCATCGTGCCGGCGGCCACCTACACGGCCGTACTCCCCTTCGCCTACTTTCCCTCGCTCAAGGCCGTCGGCGTCGAATTTCCCCTTGACGTGAGTACACGCATCACATACATAACGGTATAAACTTACTAGTAGCTGCTAAAAACTGAATGTTTCACGATATGGCATATATTAAACTACCCGACACTTGACGCGCGTCACGACGTAGAATCCGAGATACAGCGCCCTGCTTCTGCTGCCGACGGAGCGCATGGACACGGTGAGGCTCGCCCGAGCCCTCGGCGGCAAGAGCCTGAGGCTGCTGCGCAGGCAGCTCCAGCCCACCTGGGTCAGAGCCACCATACCGGCCTTCATGCTGCGCGGCTTCGTCACGCTCACGCCTTATCTGCAGCGGGTGAGAGAGAGAGAGAGAGAGAACAGCAATTCGACACTTTCTTTTATATTATAATACCTACCTAGATATAAATTACGCTTCTTTTGTATCATCCGCTTGCCGTCGAGTCAAAAAAGTTGCACCAGCTTTATTATATGTGCGCGTCATCATGGTACGACATCCGCGCGCGATCATTATTATACTGGACACTTTTCTGTACTATAATGCCGAGAGAATGAAGATTCAATTTGGCTCGTCAAAGACGTTGCGTCGCGTCGTCATAGAGCTTGCAATCTTAGCTTTTTTTTGCCCTAGAATATTATCTTTCGCTCGACGGCGCTCGACGCGTTCCATTATGTAAACTAAAGCCAACGTATACAGGCTACGGGGATAAAATATTTCATGCAAAGCCGTCAAACTTCTCTTCCTCGGGCATCGTATATATTGTATTGCACCATCTCGCCGCATAATAATATGCTTCGTAAGTACTAATATTTTCGTTTCTTTTCCCTCTTTTTTTTGTCCGTAGCTCGGCATCAAGGACGTGTTCGAGCCGCGCCTCGCCGATCTGACTCCGATGACGCCGGACCTGGGGGTGTACGCGCGCGACGTCCAGCAGAGCATCGCCGTCAACATCAGGAATTACATGCGCGACGCTAATTCGCAAGGGAACAATACCAGCAACAATAACAACAACAACGGCAATGGCAATGGCAACGGCAACGCGACGATGGCCAATGGAAATAACTCGATGATGAATAACAACGCGATGAGCAACGCAACCGGTAACAGCGACGGAACGAGCAACGGAGCAGCAGCCACGAACAATCAGAATCGAAATCCCCTGGACCAGACGTCGTCGGTGGTGTTACCGAATCGACGCTACGGTAGGCCAGGTTCGTAATATAAGCGGTTACACAGCGTATACGCATGATCGTGTGTATCTCACGGTCTGACCAAATCAGGCTGTTACTACTCACAATCGATCTTACAATCGAGTTCAGGGCTCGAGGCGGGCTATTTTCGATTGTTGCCTCGTTTATTGACTCAGCTGCTGAGCTCCCTCGAGGCCTTTTTAGCAAAGTAAAGCGTCGCTTCGTGATCGGAGTGCGGAAATTCGTACGCGATATATTCACGATGGGCAGCACATCGAGGCACGCATCCTCTCTTCCTCTCTTCCTTTCTCGCTGCTGCTGTACGGATCGCTCGACTCTCAAACTTGCTTAATCTTTGAGGTAAACTTTCCTCGGAGCTTTACAACTACGCTTATAGGCCTGACTTCTCGGTCCGCGAAGAAGACGCATCGCCTATATAATATAAGCCGTGCATTGACCTACTTGGTGCGTTCGACGCGTAACACCTAGATGCAATAAGTTATAAGACTTGTACATTGGAGCGATATCAGCGTGACAAAAAGCACGACGAACAACACAACAACAACAACAACAACAACAATATAATCTCTAAACGTCGTCGTAGGTATACAATCATCGATTTCAATCGGATGTTTGTAAGCTACCGTCTTTATGCTATACACAGCTAGTAGCGGATAATTTCGCAACGCTCGGACGATTATCGGCCGCTATAGCTCCTCTCGCGAGCCGCGAGTAATTGTCGATCGATGTGCTATAATAATTGGCCTCTAGTCGAGTGGAGAGAAAGAGCGAGAGAGACAGATATCCGCAAGCGCGACTAATTTTCAGTGCACTACACATCTGCATACATGATACGTATACACGCGTATTGCGCAACCAATCGAATTGTCCAAAGTGGACTTAGTCAGTGTGTGTGTGTGTCGAAATCGTCCTGCATACTCTCTCGCTCCTCTTCTTGCTCTATAGTAATCGATCGACGAACAATCGCGGAAATTCGCAGTTGCGATGGCTTACAACGTCGCACGCGCGACTATAACAACTGTATGTATGTATACGAGATGGAAGAGAAGGAGGAGAAATAACAACAATACACAGAGTCGCGACTGGAATTTTCACAGAGGCATTGAGAGGGAAAAGGAGAGAATGGCTATTGCTCGAAACTTAAAAGCTAATGGCTGATATCCTGAGCGAGGCTGACTCACTCTCTCTCGAGCTCTCTCTCTCTCTATAAATACATAAGACAACGTCCTTGCGCTTATAAGTGTCGATTTTTATATTGTCTTCTTCTTTTTCTTCTTGGTGACGTTATAAAAACTTGCGCACGCAGATCTCTCAGTATCTCGAGGCATATTATCATTTGGACTTTCCCGCTACACAATATATAATATGTATAATATTACGAGTTTATCGACTGTGGCGTGGGTGAACGTATTTATGCGCGGACTCGACAATTATTCTAATGGTTTTTTTTTTGTTGTTCTGGGTTTCTCTCTCTCTCTCTCTCTCTCTCTCTCTCTCTCTCGATAATAAAGATTTTTACTGCGTCATTATGATATATTCCACGCAAATATTTGTCATTTACGTGGTGACAGTAAAACGACGAAATTACCATTTAGGTGGTTCAATGAGGCGAAGGATATAGACTGTACCGACACAGGCACGAAAAAACAAAACAATCACATACATAATGTACAACAATACATTATATCGACACTTTACTCGTCAACCTTATTCTCACTCGTTGTTGTTGTCGTCGTCGAAAGGAGCATCTCGTATACGTGACTTGTTTGTTTATTTCTATAGATTCCCACGATAAAAAGAAGCTTCTCTCGATGTACCGTCGCGACGAGGGAAAGAGAAGATCGACGTCGCGCGAGTGTTGCGCAAAATACTCCAAGCGTGGCGGCAATTTTCCTCCCTATTCAATGGGACGCGAGCTATATATATGTCCTACGACCCCTAATATATAATACACCTATTGCCGCATAAAATCAAGCAAACTTCGCACGTACGACCATTTCACTCTCTGTCTCGCGTGCGTCAAGCGTTCGTACATACTACTACTACTACTATATACGCATACATGTCCGTCGATCAATTGCAGTTAACGGCATGCTGGACAGTCTGGTGGCCTTCACGGCAGCCCATCCGTTCCTTTACTTCATCGTCGACGGGGAGACTTCGGTGGCGCTCATCGCCGGCAGGATCGACGATCCCCTCAACTCCCGGATACTTCAATGACGATCTGTGCTGCTGCTGCTGCTGCTGCTGCTACCTCTATGTATCGAGAAGCTATTTGAATGTCAATGGGGCTCTTGATTTTCCAATGCAGCGCTGATTTATGGACTCTACGGTGCGAGGCGACGACGATTGTTAACAGACGCTCGCTCGTGTGTATGCGTGAAGCGATCTATCACCGACACTCATACACGAATACGTTGATTGCACGAGCAAAAATTTTGCTCGTTGAGATCATAATATGACAATGTACGAAAATATGTGATAAATTGACAAAGTTTCGACTTTTTTTGATGATGAAAATATACATTTTTTCCAATGTTTAACTGATGTTTATTTGGCAGTACTTATATTATAACAAATTCGGGCTATATATATAAACAAATGTATTGATAATTATTTATAGTTATTGTTTTTATCCTATATAAAGTAATTTACATACAAACGCTATTTTTTGTAAAAGTAAGAAATAAAATGCTGTACAAGGTTTGTTTTTTTTTGTAAAATTAAAAAAAAATGCGTTAAACTACAAGACATGCATTATCTTGAATAAAGGTATTATTACCACTGGCGCGGAGTGAGTGGAAAAATTTTTCCAGCATCAAATAAAATCATTTTTCCTCGCGCAGTTTATACATAAATTACGATCGACTATATACAGTACAAAAAATATGTAAAAATACAATGTGTTTTACAATCTGGTTCAAAAACAAAAACATTACAGTTGTATGATAAAAAGGCAAGAGCTCAGCACGTAGAAAAATAATTCTTGTACTATACAAAAATGAAAATCCTACCTTGATTATAAGGCGACTAGTCCATTAAGAAAACGTTAATTCATTAACGTCAACGTTGATTAACAAATTTTTTGCTTCATTTTTGTAACAAGGTGAAACGATGATAAATCTGCATTTAATATTCTTTCGATTCACTGCTTTATCGAGTTACACAATGTAATTTAGCATGTCGTTGCGCCGCAAAAAATAGGTGTATCAATTCACTTTTACACACCCTATATGCTTGTACAATATATGCTTGCTGTACGGACCGAAAAACAAATAGGGGCAAAAATCGTTTCTCTCCCTTTTTTATCGAATTAAAAACGATTCGCTTACAAGCAGAGTGCAAACAAAAATACACAAAAAATCTATTCCGCTGTGACAAGATTATTAAGTACATATTCACAAATTTCAAATAGAGTTAAGTAATACAATTAAATAATTTTCATTCGAACGGTTCATCTTTTATAAATCGGTAATCACCTCCTTCCTGACTATATTTATAAAATATTTATATATTAATCGCTCGTAAATGGTAAAAACAACAAAATATGTAACAACAACACTCGGTTTTTTTTCGTTTTACAACTCTACTTTCAGAGCTCCTCAAGCAACATTACACGTGGGGGGTCGATCATAAAGTGTTTCAATCGACGATATACATTACAATATACCAGCAGAATAAAAAATTCATTGTCGTCGTCATTCCTCTCACGAGACGTTCTTGATGATCCACGGCACGAACTTGGATATTCGAGTGCAGACTCCGGGTAAATTGGCCTCGGCGCAGCCGATGCCCCAGGATATTATACCAGCTAAGAAATAACGACCATCCTTACCACGTACTTGTAGAGGGCCACCCGAATCGCCCTGCAATAAAAAACAAGATGACGGTTGATGCACTTTGTTATTACAATTTTTTTTGTGCATTATTACCTGACAAGAATCCTGACCACCGACTTCGTAACCGGCGCACAGGAATATCTCGGGTATGAATTCGTGACGGCCGGCTTTGAGGAACATTGATTTGCACTTGTCATTACTAACAATTGGCACGGATACCTGCTCTCCAACAGACGGAAAGAAAAAAGTTAATTGCCATTCGCGATCAACGAGCAATCGTACATCGTCCGTATATCGACATACCTCCTGCAGAACCGAGGGCAGGGTGCCGCCCTCGCTCAATCGACCCCAGCCGGTGACCGTGGCGTTCTCGCCGATGAGCAGCTCGTCGGCGGCCGGCAGGCAGATGGGCGATATGTGCGGTGCGAAGACCAGCGGCGTTTCCAGTCGCACCAGCGCCAGGTCGTACTCGAACGTGAAGAAGTTGTACTTGGGATGTACGACCTTCTTGGTGATGCCGCGCTCGACGTACGGCAGCCGCTCCTGCACCGACGAGAAGTCGTACTCGCCCACCCTAATGCGTATCTGCGACGTGAGCAAGCTGCAAAAGAGAAAAAGTTGAGATTCGTTGAAATATAGCGAATGTTCTCGGAGAAATGAAAATACTTTTTATTTAGGGGCTTATAAGCATTTTTGAATGGAAGAAAATTATGTTCAATCTTTGTTAACAATTTTTCGAAGGCCGTTCGTTTCCTCTTTCGATCGCATTTATTTAACTCTAAAAATTTGATTTTACGTTCAGACACAGCAATTTATGCAAACCTTGTTCGTATACTTTATGTGTTCAATTTTTTCTTTTCTGGCATTTTTGTTTTTGTTCACTTGTCGAAATTTTTTTCTAAGCTATAGCGCCGGGGTGAAGTTTGAAACATCAATAGTCACAATCGCAACCTAGAGTGAAATTCATACATCGCTTTTGATGGGTATTTTTATGATGGATATTATGAAAAGTAACCCAGAGTAAAATAATAAGTATGTGCAAGTTTTTTTGCCGAGTGATTTAGGTCCGACCGTCTCGTCAAAGGATGCAATTGCGCAAAGACCATTGATATTTTGAAAAAGTATAGACCAGCGAACTTAAATACTCGGACTTGGAAAATTTGCGATCGATAAGTCGCTTCCTTCGCGCGCGATTACAGTTTCACGATTTACATTGCACAGTAAAGGATGCGACTAATCGATTGCACATTTTCGTGGTCCGAGTATCTAAGTTCGCTGATGTACATGACTCGTATGCTGTAGCTCAAAGGGATCGTTTTGGAAGTTGCCACGAGCTATCAAAAACATAGCAACGAATTGTGCAAAAAAAAAATCACTCACTCGTCGACGCAGTGTCCTGCGGTGGCGATCCAATTTTCGTTGAGCACGGCACCGCCGCATCTGTGCGTGCTCGAGAAGCCGAAGAAGGAGGTGCGTCGTACCGAGACCTGCCAGGGCCACTTGCCGAATGGTGCCTCCTTGCCGCCGACTATCCTCGTCTCGGGTCGCGGAAAGAGCGACGGTAGTCCGCAGGACATACTGCTCTTCTCCGAGGCCGCGGGTATCGTCAAGACCGAGCCAGTTCTCAGCGGAGAGCCAGTCGTCGTCGTCGTCGTCGTCGTCATTGTCGTCGATGACTCCGGAAATGATGTTTTGACGATCGTAGGTGTCGTTGTCGTAGTGCTGGTACTCGTAGTTGCATTCTCTATGTAAGAAGCACTACTTGTGCTGCTGGTAGGGCTACTCGTCGTCGTTATAGCCGCTGTGGTAGTTGCGGCTGCTTGCGGCGTCTTCTTCGTCGGCCGAGCTTTTGTTGGACTGTCGAGATACGACGTAGTTATGTAATGAGCCGAGTGCGGCTTCTGGTAAACGTGATTCTGTACAATAAATAACGTGAATGAATTAGCAAAATTTAGGAACATTAAAAATTAACTAGTCATACTTTTAGCGCTCGCCTGTCCTTTCCCAGTTTCATATTTTTTTAATCGTCACTATTAACAATCAATCATTATCGGAATCAATATATATGATAATATATTGAGAATATTATCATTCCAGCTGACAAAAGAATTGGATTCGACATCGTTTTTGAGTTAATTTCCTTAATTCTTGGGTATTACGATTGATTCTTGTTTTTTTTTGTGTCATTTGAAAGAATAAAAAAGGCCAAATTTTCAATATTTTTTCGTTATACTTTTATTTGCAAGGACATATTGAATATTATACAAATTTGAAATTATTTTCGATACATTTAAATAACTTAATTATCTTCCACTTGATTAATATTCCCTAATCGGAGGGCCTTCAAGACCCCTATTAAGTCCCAATCCACCACCATAGAACATGGTATGCATCGCACGGTCGAACTCGTCCCTGCTCCAGTTCTCCACTCCAATTTTGACACCAAAAGCTGGTGAGCAAAGTTCGCTCAACATCAAGACCGCTACAACGAGCAAACTATAAACGTAAAAAAACATACTTTATTAGATTGTAAAGATTCTATAATATAGGCTGCAGAAGACAGCCTGAAAGTTTGAAAATAAACATTTTTCTACGTATGTTCAAAGCGCCCTCAGAATGATTTGTTGTTATCAATCATTTTTATTAATGACAAATATACCTCATTGAAAATTGTGTGCGTATAACGTATGTTTGAAAGAAATTTATACTTACGCGTAAATTAACTTGGCCATTTTTTGCTATTTGCTTTTGAAATCGTTCGAATTGTCAAGCGTTTGCAACTGATGAGTGAATTATAACCAGCATGCGTATTTATATGAAAAATATTAGCCAATTAGCATGCTCAATGTTTGTTTGAAAGATTACAAATCAAAAATAAGCTCGTATCAGTATAGGAAGAAACGTAGATATATTATTATTGAAATACTCACTTTTTTAACGATCGCGCATTTTCATCTCAAACTAGTAGTTGATTAGGTATTGACTTTTAGTTAATTAAGCTTATCAATAATTAAGCATATCATAAGCTATGACATACAAAGAGTGTACTCTAATTTAAATTTCTTCAATGTACTGATGAATACATTCTGCGGCTGCAACATCAAATTTTTGCTTTCTCATAGCGGAAGCAAATGAAAAAAAAATTTGATAAGGACTAGATAGATCTTAATAGGGGTGAGAACAAGACAACGTGTTTATTAGACCGGTTCGTTTTTGGAAAATGTTTTTAAATCGTCTCGGCTCATGGCCGAGCTAAAAGTTCAAGGTTTCAGCTGAAAAAAGCCAGGCTCCAGAAGTCCAAAAAGTGACGAAAACCGGTGACGATAGGCTCTTGAAGTTTAAGAACGTGCGTCAAAATCGAGTAGAGATCGAACATAGGGCGATAGCCAGGCAGTTTTTTTTTATGACTAAAATTAATTTAGACAATACATTTTCTTGTGTATTTTTTCCTGTAAAATTGACCAGTGATATCAGATTTGCGATTTAATTGTATTTTGGCATAAAAAATTGATTTTTACTCTCGTTTTTTCGCCAAATTTTCGAAAATTTCTATTAAATCAATAAAAAAACGCGCTTAAAAAATTTGGGAAATATTTCAATTACGTTCAAAATTTAGGAGTTTCCCTGTGCAATTGAATGCCAGAACTGGACTAAACTCTGACACTCTTATTTTTATAAATAAAAGGCTATTTAAGAAAAAATGATAGAACCCAAGTACGTTGTGAGTTGAATTGTAAAATTAAAACATTCTTGAATTCATAATGTATTTGAATAAATAAGTCAAGAATAAAATGAAAAAAAATTTGATGTGTCAGCCATCGGTGTTTTTTATCAGTCCCGTACCCATTTGTATGTCATAGCTTATGATAACTTAACTAAAAATTGGTTTAAAAAGTTTCAAATTCTAAAAAGACAATCATAATATACAAGCTTGATTAAAACATTTTTTTTAAATTAATTTAATATTATTTTATTACCTAATCAACTACTAGTTTGAGATGAAAATGCGCGATCGTTAAAAAAGTGAGGATTTCAATTATAATATATCTACGTTTCTTCCTATACTGATATGAGCTTATTTTTGATTTGTAATCTCTAAAACAAACGTTAAGCGTGCTAATTGGCTAATATTTTTCATATAAATACGCATGCTGGTTATAATTCACTCATCAGTTGCAAACGCTTGACAATTCGAACGATTTCAAAAGCAAATAGCAAAAAATGGCCAAGTTAATTTACGCGTAAGTATAAATTTCTTTCAAACATACGTTATACGCACACAATTTTCAATGAGGTATATTTGTCATTAATAAAAATGATTGATAACAACAAATCATTCTGAGGGCGCTTTGAACATACGTAGAAAAATGTTTATTTTCAAACTTTCAGGCTGTCTTCTGCAGCCTATATTATAGAATCTTTACAATCTAATAAAGTATGTTTTTTTACGTTTATAGTTTGCTCGTTGTAGCGGTCTTGATGTTGAGCGAACTTTGCTCACCAGCTTTTGGTGTCAAAATTGGAGTGGAGAACTGGAGCAGGGACGAGTTCGACCGTGCGATGCATACCATGTTCTATGGTGGTGGATTGGGACTTAATAGGGGTCTTGAAGGCCCTCCGATTAGGGAATATTAATCAAGTGGAATATAATTAAGTAATTTAAATGTATCGAGAATAAATTCAAATTTGTATAATATTCAACATGTCCTTGCAAATAATAAAAGTATAAAGTTAAAAAAAATAATTGTGTCAATATTTTAAATAATAACATTTCCTTTTATGTTGAAAAGTAATTCTGAAATTTATAAAAAACAAATTAAATTTAAAGTTAAAATAAACAGACCGAACTAAAAGTAATAGCTATTGTCTTCGAGCCATTGATATACGATTAGCAACATTGATTCACAAATAAAATTTATGAATGAGACTCGTTATGGTTTCATTGCAGGACACGTTATTAAACAGCTGTTCAACAACATGAGTTAGAATTAAAAACATCAGGTTATTGGTCGATTTTTTGGTGGGATGTTGGTTCCGAGTTCCGAGATATACATATTTGTATGGAGCCAAGTTGCAAGCGAATAAATAAATATGGGTCAAATTCAGAATTTTTTAAAAATACCTGCGGACGAGGTCAATATATTTTCCTTAAATGTTGGTATGTCTATTTTCTATATTTTGGAACGTCTAGTTTTGATTTGTACTTATTCTAAAGCACTGAAGTAATAAAAAAATCTGAAAAAATTCATCAGGGTACTTTTTAACAATCCAAACAATCTTGAATTTTTCCAGATTTTCTGAGTGCTTTAGGTCTTCAGATAAAATCATTTTAAATTCAAATTATTTCATTTTCGGTAAAATGGTTCAATATACCAGACCGGAATATTAATTTTTAGCTCTGACGCTAAAAAACGATTCCTTGAATTTTGTAATAAATTTTCATTCTTGCCACTGAAGTCTGTAGTTTAAAAACTGCTTTTTTAACGAAAATAATTTTTTCGGGCGATACAGAGACTCAAAAAATCTGGAAAAATTTTTTCATATTTTATTCGTCAAACAATTCAAATTTTTTTACATACACAATTTCAAATTTTTTCAGAGTTTTTTTCAGCCGAAAAACGCTATTTTTATCTAAAAAGGTTTCTGGAGATTACGGTAAAAAAAATTTAAAAATACTTTTTTTTAATTCCTTGTCAAATTTTAATAAATTTTAACCATTCCATTTTTCGATTGAGGTCTCCTAGCTCAATACAGAGCGTCACGTTCATCATACTTACATTATTTTTCAAATGTTTCGAAAAACTGAAGCACTCAGAAATCTAAAAAAAATTAAAAGTTGTCTGTATGAATTTTTCAGATTTTTTAATTACTTCAGGGCTTGAGAATAAATATAAATAGAAAATAGACGTTTATAGCTGGGGTGGGGCCGGAAGGGAGAGGGGTCTGAAATTGTGGGTTTGGGACCCTTTTTCAAAGTACTATAACATACCAAAATTTTAGGAAAATCCGTGGACCTCGTCCGCAGTTTCATTTAAAAAATTCTGAATCTGAACCATATATATGGTGCATTATTTCAAAAGCGTGATATGACATGTCTTGTTATTGTAGCTATTAGAAAACTTTAAAAAAATGAAAACTAAGACGGTAAAACCTTTCATTTTACCGAATTTGACCTTCCGCAGCTATAAAATTTCCATAAAAAAAGACCAAATCGATTTGCCAGCCGGATAAACACACAAAATGTCCCCTCCGTGATACATGGGCCTTATTCTATACATCCTATAGAAAGTTTTTTTGTATGACTCGTCATCTTAAATAGTCTCAAAACAATTGTACGTAAGTTACAAATGTGTCCTTAAATTATGTGAAATTTTACATCATTACAAATATAGTGCCAGTAAACGTGCTAGACAATAATTTTGACCTCTCTAACTATACGAGGGTCATCTTTTAGAACTAAGGTACTCGATTTTCATCCGTAGAATATTCAAATCTTAGTTGCAGCTTCGCTATAACAATACTTGCACACGAAAATCGTACTAGTAAAATAAAGTGACCCCTCCGTGATCGACGAGTTTTTGAGCTAGCACTTTTTATTTTTGAATCTGGTGGCGTAAAAACGTTCATCTTTGCAAACAATTTTTGTGCGCGATCGGAAAAAAAATTTTCAACTTTGTTGTCGTCGTGAAATTTGATAAAAGTGCGATTTGTCCCCTCCGTGAGTGTCCCCTCCGTGACAAATTTTCATGTTTGCAATCAGAAAATAAACGAATTAGATGATGTCCGGTAAAAAGTAAATACTCCATGAAAAAACAAAGAATCAAGTGTCAGAAACTACGGGGGTCCGGAAAAATTAAACTCAAAATAGAAGAAAGTAAGTTTTTCAATTATTCCAATATTGCCCATTTTACCCACTCCAAATATCACACTTTTGAAATAATGCACCATATGTTACCGGCAAACCCGCTTTTAGGCAAAAGTGACTTTTGCCTAGGTAAAAACGAAAATGCCTAAAATTTTAGGCAAAAACCGCAATGCCTAAAAAAGTATAGGAAATTCCTAAATTTCTTAGGCAAAGCCCGCAATGCCTAAGCAATTTTAGGAAAAACCCACAATGCCTAAAAAATTTTAGGCATTACTGTAAACAATAACAGGTTAGTATACGATTAGTCAGCATCTAAGCCGGACTTACTTGTTAGTTTTGTTTATAACCCAGTATGGATACAAGCTTATACTCTCACTAGTGACTTGACTTAAAATAAAGTAAAAATGGAGATGGAAGTCGATAATTGAAAAAATCAGTTTGTCGCCGAGGCTAACGAAAAAGAGCATTATAAATGTTATAAATACTTATCTCCAAGATCAAACCAGGTAGTAGCATTAAATACTAGTGTACCGCTTGAAGATGTCTTTGATATCATTCAAGCCGTGCATATTGCGACCGGACATGGTGGGCGCGATAGGCTTTGGAAAGAAACATCGATCGAGTATTCCAACTTTACAAGCGAATTGATTGAGTTATACTTAAAAATGTGTGAAGTCTGTCACCAGAAAAAAATAAAGAGAAGAAGGGGGTTGGTATCTAAACCAATTTTCCATTCAGAAATGAATAGTAGATGCCAGGTGGACTTGATTGACTTTCAATCATCAAGTGTCGATGAGTTTAAGTTGATAATGGTGTACCATGACCATTTGACGAAATTCGTAGTTCTGAATGCATTAAAAACAAAACTTTTGTATTCAAATAAATGCGTATTTTTTCACTTTACATTAATTTTTTACTTAAAATTATTAGCTCCCAGTAATGCCTAAAAATTTTTAGGCATTGCGGGTTTTGCCTAAAAAATTGTAGGCATTGCGGGCAATGCCTAAGATTTCGGAAGTTCATATATTTCTGCGGATTTTGCTTGAAATTTCAGGCATTTCTGTTTTTGCCTAGGCAAAAGTCACTTTTGCCCAAAAGCGGGGTTTGCCGGTAACATATATATACTCGCAAATTAAGTTTACGAAACTTTGTCGATTCATAGCGTTGGCGCAAAGTTACGCGTGCTATCTATAACCGTCGTGCTTTTATATGGCATGCATACGGCCGACATTCAGTGTTACATTTTTGTGTTCCGTGCGATACATCTGCGCAGTCCGCACGCGTGCATGCGAGCTCTCGTATTCGCGCAGGGAGCTTGATTCAAGCCACTTGCAAAATAACCACGTACGTAGGTTCTGAGTACATCGTGCTCACTCCTCCACGCTATATGCCGCAGCCGTGTGTACCTACATGTATGTTAATGTTTAAATTTATCTATAGAGACAGAGTGCCGAGTCGACGCACAGGCAGGCACACGAGAGTGTCACGTCACGAGGATCGCGAGCGAGCTTTGAAATTAAACTTTCAAACGAGATAGCTGCCGCAGAGAATCCCCCGTCGTGCCGCACGTGTGCCTGCCGCATGTATGTGCAGTGCAGGCAGTAGGTAAACCGACTCTGACGCGTGTTGTGCATCTGTGTAGAAGTGGCAGGAATTCCTTTTTCTCTTCTTCTTCTTCTTCTTCTCTTCTCCTTTCGATGGCTATGCGCGCTCCAGCCTTTCGCGCGCTTCGTACGACCTTGAGGATTTTCCGTTATTCAGTCCGTGTGCAGTACGTACACCGCACATGCACGCGCGCATACGGAAAGAAGAAAAATCTCCTCCGCTCTAACAGGTTATCTCGGCCGTTAGTTTACTAAAGCTGCTGTGCGCGCCGCGTCTCCTTCGCTGTTCCTTTTTTTCTCTCTCTCTCTCTCTCAGCTCCTTTTACTCGCAGCACACGGCGTGCTCGTGCCGACACAATGAATGGACATGGGCTCTCTCTGTCTCTGTCTCTTTCCATCTTTCTATTCATGGCGCGCAAGGGGTTTGAAGATTTTCAGTGGTCAAGGGTATTCGTTAAAAGTAATTAGGATGAATGTGTTGGTTTAAAATTTTTATGGCCTCCTCGGCAGTCGTAAGTCTCGTTGCTCCACGACAACTCAACTGCTGCTGTTGCTGCTGCTGCTGCTACACTGCTCCTGATTATTACATTTTGTGCGCTCGGCACGTACTCGGCGCGTACATACGTAACTAAAATGGAGCTGCCAAGAGAGGATATATTATGCAAGCCTATACATGTATGTGTGTGTGCAGGTACTCTCTACTCGATGTATAATTGATAAAGATTGAGCTTAAAGACGCGCAGGTATGCGGATGCGGCACACGAACGCGAATTTCGTGCCAAGGCATTTTCAGTGCAAAAATTTGTAATCATCTCCCTTCCGTAGTAGCTGTACGACTGCGCTTTTTGTGTTGCGAGCTGTGCAGTTGCCACAATTCGTGCGGCATATACATAGCCGCGCATAGCGCAAGAAAAAGCCGAGAGATGTTATATATGTTATTGGAGCATTTAATGCTCTACATACCTCGTGATTCTCGGGCTTGTAACTCGGCCTCTGAGGCTGAGCGTCGAACGAGGTAGAGGACGACGCCGACGACGACGACCAGTGTGGCTTATGGTGCTGTGGCTGCGGTTTGGCCATCGACGACGACGACGACGACGAGCTCCAAGAAGACGACGCCGACGACGACGAGGAAGAGGAAGGCGCAGCTGGCTTGTTACGCGTGACGAAGGCCGGCTCCGTCGTCAGTTGCCAGTGGGCCGTTTGCGGTACCGCAGTCACACTGTCGACGAAATCATCAATTTAATAATAAACAATTAGAAAAACCTTAATTAATGAGCGCGCGAGTTGTGTTTGTTCATTTCTTCGCCTCGTTGAAAATTCGATATCATAATTAGGAGGATACGTATGTGGGATATAGTATTTCAATCTCTCTCTCTCTCTTCTCGTCGCTGCAGCGCCCCGGCGTGCAGATAATCGGCTCGTCACGCGCGAGCTGACGCTTACGTTTTATTATTATACCGATGGTAAATCCATTTGCGGCAATAAAGCACATCTCATTATCGAGCGTACCGAGGCGGAAATGCAGACGTTCGAGGATGGAGTTGGCGTAGGAGAAGCAGCAACAGCAGCGGGCACGGCCAGGCAGACGCGTCTGCTCGACTGAACTTTTAGTAAAATCACAAACTGTGTTTGCGCGCTCGTGACTCGGAGGAAAAATTATCACTTTTACAACCGCAATGACGATGATAATGACGAGCGATGAGAGACGAAGGAAAAAAAAAATTTTTACAAGCTTTATAATATAAACTTTCTTTATAGTTAGCGCTTAATTACCGCGTCGATTTTATTTTGCAGAGCGCAAGAGAATAAAAAGTGTACATCTCGCGGTATAAAGCTAACGAGAACGAGACATTTCCGAACAAATGATTCTCCTGCGACGAAGAAATTATATTTCATCCGTATATACGGCACCGAACAAAGAGCCAAGTTCATCAATTCGTGACGTCAAATCTGCAAAGAAGGTAAAGAACGGAAAAAATCTCGGATTACTATATACAAGCCAACTTAATGATTCCATGCCGCGCTTTGCACTGATTAATGCCTCGAAAAGCAACAGGAGCAGTATCTCCGGCTTATAATAATATAAATAAATAAAGTGATATAAAGGAGATGTTGGCTTTTTTACCTGGTCGAGTGAGCGGAATAATGGGACGTGGCGGTGACTTTTGTCGTCGCGTGATCAATGGGTCGTCGCGTCGTCGTCGTCGTAGTCGTCGTTGTACTGCTCGTTGACGTTGTGCTGCTCGTTTTCGCCGAAAAATGCGGCTTCGAGTAGTCGTTCGGTCGCGAGTAAGACTGTTGTTGATGCTGCTGCTGCTGCTGCGACGGTTTGGTCGCCCATTGTGGTCGCTCCGTGTAGATGTGATTCATCGACGGCTTGTTCAATTTGTTCATGGCCTCCTGTATAAAATGAACAAAAAAGAGAAAATAATACAAAAACGCATAGTTGATTTATTATTCGCCACTATTTCATATTATCTCTACTCACGCAGACAGGCAATCTTTATAAAAAATTTTATCTGTGAAAATTCATGGACAAAAAAAAAGCAGAAGCGAGCAGCTATAATTAAAAATGATGCTTTCTAGAATATAAGTGCTAGATCGTGTCTCACATCGTCGTCGAGGGAATTGATGCTCGGCCTCTGCACGCTCTCCTGCACGCTGAGATCCTGGTCGTCCTGGTCGCGATCGTCGGGCCTGGTGTTGTAGGGCCTGGCGCCGGGCCGCTGGTTCTTGCCGTTGCTCGCCTGATTCTTGTTGTTGGGCAGCCTGACCAGCAGCGTGTTGTGCTGGCCGCCACCCGAGACCTTGTCCTTGAACGACGACTGCTGATGATAGTGATGATGATGGTGATGCTGATGATGATAGTACTGGCCGTTGCCGTGATGCGCGAGATGATGCTGCTGTCGATCCTCCTGGTCCGGTCGCTGATAGTGGTGATAAGAGTTGGCGTTGCCGGGCCTGTTGTTGCGGGTGCCGTTGTTGTTGCCGCCGTTGCTGACGGGCTTCGAGTGGGGCTTCTTTTGAAGCGGTCGCGATGCCATTTGGTGCTGATTGTTTTGCGAGGACGACGGTCGACGAGTCGTTGGAGCTGCGTCAAGAAAAAAAAAACTTTTCGACTGACTACAAGACGAGATCGTAGGTGCTCGATCGATATTACCTTGATTCGACGTGCTATTATTGTGACTAGTTGATTTGGTCGCGTATTGCTGGCCGGCCGCCGCGGCGGCGGCGATGGCTATGCTGTTCTGCGTGGCGTTGTGCACGCAGCAGCTGCCAAACATGAAGCTGTCGACGCAGACACCCACGTGGGTGCCCTCGGACTTGATGCATTCCCAGACGAACATGCAGGTGCCCTCTACGTTCGGCTGGCCCGCCACCCGGCATGGCTTTGGACTGATTTTGTAACCTGACAAGCAAATGGACGACATTATTCAACGCCTTTTCGGTACCCCATACACCCGATGTTTTATGCTACGCGAATGCTCGAGTAGTTTCGATCTAGGTAGCTAATTCCTAAAATATTCAATAGAAATTTCAGCAACAAAAGGATTTTAGGATTTATGTCTTCACTGTGGCTATTATATTCTCTTGAGAGTAAAAAAAATGTAAGTAACTGACCTCGATTCATGGAGCTGAGGGTCCTGGCGATGCCTGACCACCAAAGTATAGCAGTCACATAACCAATCCACCGCATCCTGAGCCCTGTAACGAGACGAAATTCATACACTTCCGTTGCAAAGCTCAACAATAAATAGCAATATATCAATCGTTTCGTCGATGAAATACCTGTCTGAGTTTAATTTATATCAGATTTAATAATATTTATTAATGAATTATTGTAATTATAATAATGAATAATTATTAATGAATTAATGAATTATTTTCCCTTCAGACTTGAGATATTATTTCGGAACAAAAGATGACGTACTTCCTATCATTCTGTTACAATGAATTATTGAAGGTAGAGAGATTCAGATGAGTTATTGAAGATACTTTAAATCTTATCGAGTTTGGTTCGTGTCTCAGTTTTTTAATAAAAATTTAAAGGTGATATAATAAATAAGAATATTCCGCAATCAGAGCATTTTATCGAAGCGTTTGATCATAATGATCAAGGAATAGTAATAAGCGGATTTTAAATTAAAGTCTTGAGTTTGCAAACTCAAATTTTTTTTTGTAGACACGTTTCTTGTTCCCTTTAAACCGCTATCTAGTGCTTATCACATTTTTTTGTTTGGCCGAGCTTTTGTTGGACTATCGAGGTACGAATGAATGAGTTGGCAAAATTTAGGAACATTAAAAATTAAATAGTCATACTTTTAGCGCTCGCCTGTCCTTTCCCAGTTTCATATTTTTTTAATCGTCACTATTAACAATCAATCATTATCGGAATCAATATATATGATAATATATTGAGAATATTATCATTCCAGCTGACAAAAGAATTGGATTCGACATCGTTTTTGAGTTAATTTCCTTAATTCTTGGGTATTACGATTGATTCTTGTTTTTTTTTGTGTCATTTGAAAGAATAAAAAAGGCCAAATTTTCAATATTTTTTCGTTATACTTTTATTTGCAAGGACATATTGAATATTATACAAATTTGAAATTATTTTCGATACATTTAAATAACTTAATTATCTTCCACTTGATTAATATTCCCTAATCGGAGGGCCTTCAAGACCCCTATTAAGTCCCAATCCACCACCATAGAACATGGTATGCATCGCACGGTCGAACTCGTCCCTGCTCCAGTTCTCCACTCCAATTTTGACACCAAAAGCTGGTGAGCAAAGTTCGCTCAACATCAAGACCGCTACAACGAGCAAACTATAAACGTAAAAAAACATACTTTATTAGATTGTAAAGATTCTATAATATAGGCTGCAGAAGACAGCCTGAAAGTTTGAAAATAAACATTTTTCTACGTATGTTCAAAGCGCCCTCAGAATGATTTGTTGTTATCAATCATTTTTATTAATGACAAATATACCTCATTGAAAATTGTGTGCGTATAACGTATGTTTGAAAGAAATTTATACTTACGCGTAAATTAACTTGGCCATTTTTTGCTATTTGCTTTTGAAATCGTTCGAATTGTCAAGCGTTTGCAACTGATGAGTGAATTATAACCAGCATGCGTATTTATATGAAAAATATTAGCCAATTAGCATGCTCAATGTTTGTTTGAAAGATTACAAATCAAAAATAAGCTCGTATCAGTATAGGAAGAAACGTAGATATATTATTATTGAAATACTCACTTTTTTAACGATCGCGCATTTTCATCTCAAACTAGTAGTTGATTAGGTATTGACTTTTAGTTAATTAAGCTTATCAATAATTAAGCATATCATAAGCTATGACATACAAAGAGTGTACTCTAATTTAAATTTCTTCAATGTACTGATGAATACATTCTGCGGCTGCAACATCAAATTTTTGCTTTCTCATAGCGGAAGCAAATGAAAAAAAAATTTGATAAGGACTAGATAGATCTTAATAGGGGTGAGAACAAGACAACGTGTTTATTAGACCGGTTCGTTTTTGGAAAATGTTTTTAAATCGTCTCGGCTCATGGCCGAGCTAAAAGTTCAAGGTTTCAGCTGAAAAAAGCCAGGCTCCAGAAGTCCAAAAAGTGACGAAAACCGGTGACGATAGGCTCTTGAAGTTTAAGAACGTGCGTCAAAATCGAGTAGAGATCGAACATAGGGCGATAGCCAGGCAGTTTTTTTTTATGACTAAAATTAATTTAGACAATACATTTTCTTGTGTATTTTTTCCTGTAAAATTGACCAGTGATATCAGATTTGCGATTTAATTGTATTTTGGCATAAAAAATTGATTTTTACTCTCGTTTTTTCGCCAAATTTTCGAAAATTTCTATTAAATCAATAAAAAAACGCGCTTAAAAAATTTGGGAAATATTTCAATTACGTTCAAAATTTAGGAGTTTCCCTGTGCAATTGAATGCCAGAACTGGACTAAACTCTGACACTCTTATTTTTATAAATAAAAGGCTATTTAAGAAAAAATGATAGAACCCAAGTACGTTGTGAGTTGAATTGTAAAATTAAAACATTCTTGAATTCATAATGTATTTGAATAAATAAGTCAAGAATAAAATGAAAAAAAATTTGATGTGTCAGCCATCGGTGTTTTTTATCAGTCCCGTACCCATTTGTATGTCATAGCTTATGATAACTTAACTAAAAATTGGTTTAAAAAGTTTCAAATTCTAAAAAGACAATCATAATATACAAGCTTGATTAAAACATTTTTTTTAAATTAATTTAATATTATTTTATTACCTAATCAACTACTAGTTTGAGATGAAAATGCGCGATCGTTAAAAAAGTGAGGATTTCAATTATAATATATCTACGTTTCTTCCTATACTGATATGAGCTTATTTTTGATTTGTAATCTCTAAAACAAACGTTAAGCGTGCTAATTGGCTAATATTTTTCATATAAATACGCATGCTGGTTATAATTCACTCATCAGTTGCAAACGCTTGACAATTCGAACGATTTCAAAAGCAAATAGCAAAAAATGGCCAAGTTAATTTACGCGTAAGTATAAATTTCTTTCAAACATACGTTATACGCACACAATTTTCAATGAGGTATATTTGTCATTAATAAAAATGATTGATAACAACAAATCATTCTGAGGGCGCTTTGAACATACGTAGAAAAATGTTTATTTTCAAACTTTCAGGCTGTCTTCTGCAGCCTATATTATAGAATCTTTACAATCTAATAAAGTATGTTTTTTTACGTTTATAGTTTGCTCGTTGTAGCGGTCTTGATGTTGAGCGAACTTTGCTCACCAGCTTTTGGTGTCAAAATTGGAGTGGAGAACTGGAGCAGGGACGAGTTCGACCGTGCGATGCATACCATGTTGTATGGTGGTGGATTGGGACTTAATAGGGGTCTTGAAGGCCCTCCGATTAGGGAATATTAATCAAGTGGAAGATAATTAAGTTATTTAAATGTATCGAAAATAATTTCAAATTTGTATAATATTCAATATGTCCTTGCAAATAAAAGTATAACGAAAAAATATTGAAAATTTGGCCTTTTTTATTCTTTCAAATGACACAAAAAAAAAACAAGAATCAATCGTAATACCCAAGAATTAAGGAAATTAACTCAAAAACGATGTCGAATCCAATAATAACATTTCCTTTAACCCCGTTAACGCCAGAAATGACAATTTTCCGACATTTACAGCTATGAATTGCACCGACTAAAAATTGTTCAAAAAACTTTTCAGATATCATTTCTTATGTAAAATTTAATTTAATTTTCGAATCTAGGGTCAGAAGTTTCTAAAATTTATTTAATAAATAGTTACTACAAACAATTTTCTAAAAATTAACATGACATTTCGAGAAAAAATTCTCGTTTAACTCAAATTTCAAGACAGAAAGAAGGTTCACTCGTGCGTCTCACACATATAGATTTGGTCAATGGCATGTATACTTTATTGTAAAATAATTATTATTATGAAACTCGATATGGCGATCATAAATAAGACTCCCGAAGACCTGCCTATCACAAATTAATTTCAGCAATTTTGAACTCGACATCCATCAACTTTACGAGAAAAAGTTGTAGAATGAAATGTGTTTAGAATTGATAAAAATGAGCCTGCTTTTTTTCAGAATTTTTGGAACGATTTTTGGATTTTTGAAAAACTGTTGTTATCCAGAAATCTAAAAATCGTTCTAAAAATACTGAAAAAAGCAGGCTCATTTTTCATCAATTCTAAACACATTTTATTCTACAATTTTTCCTATCATTCTGTTACAATGAATTATTTAAAGTGATGGGAGAGAGAGATTCAGATGAGATATTCAAGATACTTTAGATTTTATCAAGTTTGGTTCACGTCTCAGTTTTTTATAAAAATTTAAAGGTCATTTAATAAATAGGAATACTCCGTAATTATCCGCATTTTACTCCGCATTTTATCGAAGCGTTTGATCATAATGATCACGAAATCATTATTAGCGGATTACACAGTACTGGAGTTTTTTCTGCATCAAAATCTTATATATTCATAACATAAATTTTATAACGTCGAATACTATAATAATATTTTAAGTTATTATGATTTTTGAAAACTATAATTTAAACTCTGCCATATCGCACACTCTACAATATTTGACCACAACCTACGCGATGATTGACAGCAGACCTCGCAATATTTGATTGTTGACCCGACAGTATTTTAAATTTTTTTATTCCGTACAATGAAATCATTAAATCTTCAAAAACTTTTTAACTCGATGTACAACGAATTGTTTATGTTGAAATAAAAATTTTGTGTTAGTTTGATCGAGGCGAGCTATTTCGAATAATCACTCCTGATGCGACGATGCAAAAATGTTATAATCCGTCGAGTATAACTCCGCGACTCGCAAGTTTAGCCGTCATTTTTCCATTCGTTAATAGCGCTTGCGACGAACAGGTTTATGAGTTTATTGGCACTCGAGTTCTTAAAATACATATAAATGGATTAATTCGCGAGTAGGCTAACGCGAGTACCTGTAATTAAATCTGTGCGCTTGCACGCGCGTGCATCGAAAGTTTCGCCGAGATAATCTATTTTTAGCCTACGCGTCTGCTGCGCGTCAGCCGTGTTTATCAGTGCTATATATAAAATGAAAACGTCAAATAGA